AGATCAAGAAACAGGATGTTCTTAGCACCCCAGAATTTCCCCACCATGCCCCTTCTGGTCCCCATTCCCCCAAGAGTGCCACATTTCTGACTTGCAACTCTACTGATTGACAGTTAACATGGTCTAGACTCAGGTCACATAAACAGAATGTTTCAGCTTGTTCTTTTTTGTGTCTGACTTCTTTTGCTCCACCCTATATGAGCAAGACCCATTCCTGTTATTGCATATAGTTACACTTTGCTCTCATTGCTTTATTTTATTCCACTGTGTGAACAAACCACATGTTATTTAATCCATTCTACTCATGTGAGACATTTGGGTGGTTCCCAGTCTGAGGCTATTATGAGAAGTACTGTTGTGGTGGGTAGATCCCTCGGAGTGGAGCTGCCATGTCATAGAGTTTGCACACAGCCCTAGTGGATTTGGTCAGTTGTGGCAAATGGTTTTCCAATGGGCTTGTACCATGTGGCCCTGCCAGGATCTACACCTGGCCTGCTCCCCAGTCAACAGCTGCCCCAGCTGCTGTTTCTAACCAACTTTCAGTTCCAGACACTGTCCGTGGTCCTACCCCTGACCTTGGTCCTGTCCTTGGTTCCAGCCCTGTGCTAGTCCTGGGCTTAACTTGAACTATGTAAATTGACTAAATATTTATATAGTCAATAAATATATTTTGATCACTTACTATGTACCAGATGTAAGGATATAGCAGCCAAAACAAAACAAAACCAGGTGATATGTCTGCCTCCATTGACCTTACAGTCTAGTGGGCAAGGTTGAGTGTGGGTAAGAAAGTAATAAAATAATCCCATGAATAAATATGTGAGTATAAATTATTATAAATGCTGCAAATGGGAGTTACATGATCCTGTAATATCACATGATAGGGGAGCTGACCTGGACAGGAAAGGCTTCCTGAGGAAGAGATGTGGGGTTGAGACCCAAATGATGAGGAAGCCAAGAGAAAAGGGAAGAACATTCCATAGAGGAAACCACAGATACAAAGGTCTGGGGCTGGGAAGAATGTGGAGGACATAAGACCGGGGGGACTGGAATGGAGAGAGGGAGGGAAGTCTTAACGTGGGATGAGGTGGGAGAGGTCAGCAGGGGCCAGATGATGCAGGACTGTCTGTCAGTATCTGAAAACTATTCAGAGGGGAGCCACTGAAAAGTTTTTTGGGGGGAGAGGGGCATTCTATTTGCCTTTGCAAGATTTTTAAGAAGCAAGAATAGAAACAGAGGGACCGGCTATGAGGCAATCACAGTTGTTAAGGTAGATAGTAGCTTGGACTATAATGATGCTTAGAGGGAGAAACATAAGCAAATTAAAGAGATACTTACAATAAAATATGGGTTGATATGATGGAATATGGTGGTGTTGAATGAGTTGTTGGGTTTCTGGCTTGTGAAACTAAGTAACAATGGGACCATGAGCTGCGGTAGGGAACACAGAAGGGATAGGGTACAGGAGGGATGAATGTTGAGTTCTGTTCTAGATGTGTTGAATCTGAGGTGCCCAAGAGGAGATGCTAAATAGGATAGCTATATTGCTTGGAGTTAAGAGGAGATAATTTATACTTTGGGATATAGTTTGGAAGTTAAAGTCTGGGATCTGGATGAAGGTACCTGAGTGAATGACTACCCCACGTAGGTCACAGCTCTGGCTACACACTGCAATCCCCTAGGGAGCTGTTAAAAATACTAAAGAAAGTCTGGTGCTTCAGTCCCTCTAGCCACATTTTAAGTGTTAAGAGCCAGTGATCTCTCCTATTTACCTTATCGCCAGCACAGATATAGAATGCTCTAAAATGGAAGATATGGTCATCAGTGTCCAGTGATTTTGAGAAATCAAGGTGAAGACAAACGACTTTTAGATTTTGTAACAGATCATTGGGAGACCTTAAGGAGGGCTATTTGGTGGACTGAAAGAAGGTGAAGTCAGATGGGAGCTGGTTGAGACATGCATGGGATATGTGAGATAGGAACAAGTCCAGATAAATCTTTTGACAACTATGGCCATGAAGTAGAGAAGACAAATATGTGGTGGCTGGAGGGAGTGTGAGGTTGGGGAATTTTTTTTAAGTATATTTTTGTATTTTAAGTATATTTTATGCATATAGTGAAATGCACATAAGTGTATAGCTCAATTAATTTTTGATTATACATACTTTTGTTTAACCACCCAGTTAAAGGTGCAAAATATTTCTAGTAATTCTATCCTGTCTTCTATTAGTTCTGTTTATTTTTCAACTTTGTATCCATAGCATCATTTACAATGTTCTTTTTTGGGGGCCTTGTTTCTTTTGCTTAGCATTATGTGTGTCAAATTTTGTCCATGTTGCTGTGTGTAACAAGAAGGGTTTTTTTTGGTGGGGCGGGGGGAGTTTGTTTGTTTGATTTTTGGCTACACTGCCCAGCTTGCAGATCTTCCCCTACCAGGGACTGAACCCAGGGCCTGGCAGTGAAAGCACTGAGTCCTGAGCTCTGGATCACCCACCAAGTCCAAGGAGGGTGTTTCTTCATTGCTGGAGAGTATCCCATTGTATGACTATGCCCCAATATATTTATCCATTCTACTATTAATGGACACTTGAGGTGCTTCCAGTTCAGGCTCATATGAAAAAAATCCCATGAACATTCTTGTACCCGTCTTTTAGAGGATACATGCAGTCATGTCTTTTGGAGGATACGTGCCGACGTTTCTGTTGGGTATTTACCAAGAAGTATAATTGCCAAGTTATAGGCTGTATGCCTTAGTAGCAACTGCCTATCAGTTTTCCAAAGTGGCTGCACTAATTTCTGCCCCTACGTGCAATAAATGAGAGTTCCAGTAGCCTCACATTCTTGCCAATATTGAGCATCAACAGCCCTTTTAGTTTTAGCCATTCTGATGGATATTTGATGGCATCCTCTTGTGGTTTTAATTTTCATTTCCCTGATTACTGGTTTTGTTCTACACATGCATTTGTTTATTTTTCATATATTTATCGGCCCTTTGGATATATTCTTTACTAGAGAGACTTTTTTTTTTTTTTTGCAAATTAGAAAAAAAAACTGGTTGCCTGCCTTTTGTTTGTTTTTGTTTTGAAGGAATTCTTTAGATTTTAATCCTCTCTCTCACTCTCAAGCACTGTCTTCCAATTTCTCCACCATATATAATATATATATATATATATTCTGACATTTCTCACGTATTTTCTCCCATTCTGTGGCTTGCCTTCTTTTTCTCTTAATTGCATCTTTTTTATAATTTTATTTATTTATCTTTGGCGGCCCTGGGTCTTCATTGCTGTGTGGGCTTTTCTCTGGTTGCAGCGAGTGGGGGCTACTCTCCAGTTGTGGCATGTGGGTTTCTCATTTCGGTAGCTTCTCTTGTCGTAGAACACAGGCTCCAGGCACAGATTCAGTAGTTGTGATGCAGGGGCTTAGCTGCTCTGAGGCATGTGGGATCTTCCTGGACCAGGGATCAAAGTCTTGTCTCCTGCACTGGCAGGTGGATTCTTTACTACTGAGCCACCGGGGAATCCCTTAGTGGTGTCCTTTGATGACCAGAAGTCATCAATTTAATGTGGTCCAATGTATCAATATCTTTTTTGTGGTTTAGTTTTGTGTGAAATTTTTTATGGTAAATTTTGTGGTTAGGTTTTAAGAAATCTTTGTTTATTTCATGGTCATAAAGATTTTCTCCTATAGTTTTTTCCTCTAAGATATTTTGTGAAAGGTATTGTTTTATCTTTCACGATTAGATCTATATACTCATTCTAAATTAATTTCTGTATGTGGACATAAGGTAGAGATATATTTTTTCCCCATGTGGATCTTCAACTGACCCAGGACCATTTATCACAATTTATTCTCCTTTTAATTGTAGGGCCCTCTTTTTCATTAATCAGGTGACCACATAAGTGTGGGTCTGTTTCTGTTCTGTTCTCTATGCTTTCACCTTCATAATAAATTTTGATATTTGGTAATATAAGTCCTGAGGAAGAGGATTTAAAGAAAAAAAAACAGGAGTTTTTTGAGCTTATATGGAAAGATGATGGAAAGTTGAGAGTGAGGGGCTGAATGAAAGAAAGAGAGGATAATCTACACCTTAAGGTTTCTAAAAAGATACTAGAAGCTGGGATCCAGTTGTTTATGGAAGGATTAGTCTTTTCTATTCATCTACTGACCCATTCAACAAAAATGTGTTGGATAGGGAATTCCCTGGTTGTTCAGTGTTAGGACTCTGCACTTTGACTGCTGAGGGCCTGGGTTCAATCCCTGATCAGGGAACTAAAATCCCATAAGCTGTGCAGAATGGCCACCAAAACAAACAAACAAACAAACAAAAACCACCAAAAACCATGTTGTATAGTGCCCATCCCATGTGCCAGGCACAGGCATGCAGCAATACCAAGACAGATGAAGTCCCTGTTCTTATGGAATTCGCATTCTGGTAGTGGGGAAAAGATAATAATCAAGTAGCCACACAAACAGATAGTTCAGGCAGCAATAAATGGCATGAAGAATATAAGCAGGACACTGCGATGAAGTGTGATGAAAGACTGGTCCAATCGGGCAGCAAGGAAGACCTCTGGGAGTCGATGACATGTGAGTTAAGATTTGAAAAGGAAGGAGCCAACCTCTAAGAGCTGAGTGAAGAGCATCCCAGACAGAGAAAGCATATAGTGCAAAGGCCCTTAGGTTAATGTAAGCTTATAGTGTCTGTGGAACAAACAAAAAAGACCAGTGTGGATGGAACAGTAAAAAAATAAATAAAATAAGGAGTGGAAGAGCAGGGTGGCCAAATGATATCAGAAAGCAAGGTAGAGACAGATCTGCCCAGGGAGGGTCTATGATAGGATTGAGCTGAATGTGGATTTTTGCAAACACGTGAGTTGGGTAGATGAGCTGTGGGTGGTGGGACTGTGGGTGTGTGTGTTGGGGAAGGGGACATTCATCTTGTCTGCTCTGTGAAGCTGCTCTCATATGTGCCCTCTCTTCCCACAGCCTCCGGAAAGATGCCCACCCAATGTTCCCTAACCTCCAACCTGGCCCTTCTGATGCTGCTGGGCACTGTCACAGCAGGCCCTTTCTCTCCACGGTCCAACGTGACACTCCCAGCCCCACGGCCCCCTCCCCAGCCGGGGGGCCGTACAGTGCAGCCAGAAGGGGGAGGCCCTTCTTCTCGGCTCTACGAGCACACTGTGGAAGGAGGGGAGAAGCAGGTGGTGTTCACCCACCGCATTAACCTGCCCCCTTCAGCTGGCTGTGGCTGTCCCCCAGGCGCGGAGCCCCCTGTCCCTGCTTCAGAGGTGCAGGCCTTGAGGGTCCGACTGGAGATCCTGGAGGAGCTGGTGAAGGGGCTCAAGGAACAGTGCACTGGGGGGTGTTGTCCTCCAGCTGCCCAGGCTGGCACAGGTGAGCCGATGATCACAGGAAGGAGCACAGAAAAGAAGGGAAGTGGATTAGGGTTGGGTGGGCATCACTGGAGAACCTTGGTGTGAATTAGGAAAGGCACCCGGCCTCCCCTTTGCAAGTGGTGAGTGCAGCCCAGGGCACGACTTTGAGAGGAGCCATGTGACTAGATGTCAGCCCTCCCCAGTGAATGTTAGGGCCCTGGGTGATAAGTTACAGCTGGAAACTAAAATGGCCTTAGGAAAAAAATAAATAAAAAATAAAATGGGCTTAGGAAATGAGGCTTCCCTGATGGGGAAGCTGACTCAGAGCAGCACTACACATGCTCAGCCTCTCCTCCCTAGAGAGACTGAGACCCAGCTCTCGCTCCTACTCCAGGCCAGACCGACATTCGAAGCCTCTGCAGTCTCCATGGTGTGTTTGACCTGAGCCGCTGTGCCTGCTCCTGCGAGCCAGGCTGGGGTGGGCCCACCTGCTCGGACCCCGCAAGTGCCGAGGGACCCCCCTCCTCGCCACCCTCCGCCCCCGGTTCCTGCCCGGACGACTGCAATGATCAGGGTCGCTGCGTCCGTGGTCGCTGCTTGTGCTTCCCTGGCTACACCGGGCCCAGTTGTAGCTGGCCCTCCTGCCCCGGGGACTGCCACGGCCGCGGACGCTGCGTGCAGGGCGTGTGCGTGTGCCGCGCGGGCTTCTCCGGGGATGACTGCAGTGTGCGCTCCTGCCCTCGCGGCTGCAGCCAGAGGGGACGCTGCGAGGACGGGCGCTGCGTGTGCAATCCAGGCTACAGTGGCGAGGACTGTGGGGTGAGGAGCTGCCCCCGAGACTGCAGCCAGAGAGGACGCTGCGAGAATGGGCGCTGCGTGTGCAACCCCGGTTACACTGGCGACGACTGTGGGGTAAGGAGCTGTCCCCGAGGCTGCAGCCAGAAGGGGCGCTGCGAGGACGGGCGCTGCGTCTGTGACCCGGGCTACGCTGGCGACGACTGCGGCTCGCGGACCTGCCCGTGGGACTGTGGAGAGGGCGGACGCTGTGTGGACGGCCGCTGCGTGTGCTGGCCCGGGTACGCGGGCGAGGACTGCAGCACGCGGACCTGTCCCCGCGACTGTCGGGGCCGAGGGCGTTGCGAGGATGGCGAATGCATCTGCGACCCGGGCTACAGCGGGGACGACTGCGGCGTGCGCAGCTGCCCAGGCGACTGCAACCAAAGGGGCCGCTGCGAGGACGGCCGCTGCGTATGCTGGCCTGGGTACTCGGGGCCCGACTGCGGAGCGCGTGCCTGCCCGCGCGACTGTCGGGGCCGCGGGCGCTGCGAGAACGGCGTATGCGTGTGCCACGCGGGCTACAGTGGCGAGGACTGCGGCGTGCGCAGCTGTCCCGGGGACTGTCGCGGCCGGGGTCGTTGCGAGAGTGGCCGCTGCGTGTGTTGGCCCGGGTACACAGGCCGGGACTGCGGTACGCGCGCCTGCCCTGGCGACTGTCGCGGGCGCGGGCGCTGCGTAGACGGCCGCTGCGTGTGCAACCCGGGCTTCGCAGGAGAGGACTGCGGGAACCGTCGGTGTCCCGGGGACTGTCGCGGTCGCGGCCGCTGCGAAGATGGCGTGTGCTCGTGCGACGTGGGCTACGAGGGCGAAGACTGCGGCACGCGCAGCTGCCCCAGGGGTTGCCAAGGCCGCGGCCAATGCCTGGAGGGGCGCTGCGTGTGCGACGACGGCTACGAGGGTGAGGACTGCGGCGTAAGACGGTGCCCGCGCGACTGCAACCAGCGCGGCGTGTGCCAGGACGGTGTGTGCACCTGTTGGGAGGGCTTCGCGGGCGAGGACTGTGGCCTCCGTGTCTGCCCCTCCAACTGTAACCGGCGCGGTCGCTGCGAGAACGGGCGCTGCGTGTGCGACTCAGGCTACACAGGCCCCTCCTGCGCCACTCGCACCTGCCCGGCCGACTGCCGGGGCCATGGTCGCTGTGTGCAGGGCATGTGCGTGTGCCACCTGGGCTACAGCGGCGAGGACTGTGGGCAGGAAGAGCCTCCTGCCAGCGCCTGCCCCGGGGGCTGCGGGCCGCGGGAACTGTGCCGCGCAGGCCAGTGCGTCTGCGTCGAGGGCTTCCGGGGCCCCGACTGCGCCATCCAGACGTGCCCCGGGGACTGCCGTGGCCGGGGAGAGTGTCGTGAGGGCAGCTGCGTCTGCCAAGACGGCTATGCAGGGGAGGACTGCGGGGAAGGTGAGCGGACAGCCTGCCTCAGTGTGCTGGGTCCTGGGATGGAAAACCGGAGCCCCATGAGAAAACCTGAGTCTGAGGCATAGGAGCCCCGCAACTTGGAGGCAGGATGATGGAGGCGGTCATATATTGGGGCAGCTGGTGGGGCAGTCAGAGAAGCCAGAGGGCCAGGGTCCACCAGGGCTGCAGAACCAGGGTGTGGTGGGGGGGCATGCCTGCAGGTAGGACCTGCTGTAAGATCTCTGATGAGCAGATCCAGGGGCCCTCTTCAGTTATTTTTCGGGAGATTTTGGTTCCTGGAGATAGAGGGCAGTGAAGGAAATCCAAGGCCTGTTCAGGCCACTGCTGGCTTTTCCTCGCCACCCCTCTCTCCCCTCAGAGAGGAGTGGGAACTTGGTTGAATCCTTAATATGATCCTGAGTAGGAAGAGCTTGTGAGAGTGGGGGTAGGGGTGGGAAGCTGCCTTGGGCTAAGCAGCTTCTCATATCCCACTCTCCTGGGCAGAGGTGCCGGCCATTGAGGGCATGAGGATGCACCTGCTGGAGGAGACGACGGTTCGGACAGAGTGGACCCGGGCTCCCGGCAATGTGGATGCCTACGAAATCCAGTTCATCCCAACGGTGAGAGCAAAGCTCCAAGAGGGGGCTAAGTGAGTGGGGCTGGCAGTGGGGGTGCTCACCTCAAAAGGAGTTCCAGGTAATCAGTGGTTGAGTCCAGGTAGCTGATTCCGGAAGCTGTGCTAAAGACCTTTGCATTCTGCCTACATTGGGTGCAGAAGGCCTTTGCATCATTGGCCCACTGCTGCTGGAACTCCTCTGGTGACCTTGAGCTCAGTACTTCCTAAGGCTGCCTGCTGACTCCATTTTTGCTCATCACTGAAGTCACTTCTTTCTGTTGTTGCTGAATCCAAAGTTGCCCCATTCATACATCCATTCAGTGGCCCCAGCTGGACCATCACCAGCATTGGAATGTGTTTTTTCCTTTCCCTCCATCTTACACCATGGACTTTTAGATATTTGGAGACATTAGCCATCACGTTGGGCCTGCCTGGTGGCTCAGTGGTAAAGAAAATGCCTGCCAATGCAGGAGATACGGGTTTCATCTCTGGGTCAGGAAGATCCCTTGGAGAAGGGCATGGCAGCCCACTCCAGAATTCTTGCCTGGAAAATTCCATGGACAGAAGAGCCTGGTGGGCTACGGTCCATGAGGTCACAAAGAGTTGGACACCACTGAAGCAAATGAACATGCCATCACATCACCATTCATTCCCTCCAGGCCAAACCCACTGGTTTTTTCTTCCCGTTTCTTTGAGGCTTTGTTCTCTGAATCCTTCACTTCTTGGTTTTCTTCCTCTGATGCCTCCTGCTTTTTGCATGTGCCTCTTCCCTCCAATTACAGGGGCAGAAAGGAGTCCAGTCACTCACCTGGCTAACTCTGGATACCCTGCTACTTTTCTCAGAGTTGACATATATGAACTTTCAGTCACACAAACTATTAGTTATTTTGATCACATTTGATTTTTAAAGTAACTCTTTATTACAAAAGTCATATAGGCTCAGTTTAGAGACTAGAAGATATAAACAAGGAAAAAAGAAAGAAGGAAGGAAAAAAGAAGACATTCAACTACATACCCCCTTTTAAGCCTAAATATAAGCCTTTGCATTTGGCTCTGTTCTGTGTTATCATTTTTTGGTTTGGGCCAAGCTGTCTAGGCTGTTGGAATAATTTGAGTCTGTGAATTAGTTCCCTAGCCTCCATGTCATCAGTGCATTGCAAAGCCTCCTTTCTCTATCTCCTTCCAACTCACTCTTAAAATATTTGGGGGCACCCTAAGGACAAAGTTTGTGGCCTCTCATTAGAGATCTCCCTTTATGCAGATTGGGTTTTTATGATGTGTTTGGTCTCCTAGCTGCAAATCATCTGACATTTCTCTCATTCAAATATGTTTTCCTGCATCATTCCACAAATGCCATAGGTAGGTAGCCCATGTTACCCTAATCTCTACCCAGTCAGGACTCTGGAAAAATAAATAAGTTCCAGGGCTTAAACTTAGGAAGCCTGTAGGACAGAAGAGATAGCTCTGAGGTGCTGGCTGTCATCCCCACCCCAACTGGCCTAGTCATTCTAAGTCTCCTTATCAATATTATCACCTCAAACCCAGGCCCCTATCATGTTTTATCTCTCCTTGCCCTCTGGTAGAAGCAGAGGCAGAAATCCCTTCTTTGCTTCACAACCAAGGGAGCCTGGATTTCTTTATTCCATTTACATTTTTTTTCAGTTATAAAAATAATGTAATCACAAGACAAGAATTTGGCGACTAGGGAAAAAAACAAATAATTCTTGGCTGTTTCATACTGAAACAAGTACTGTTAACATTTTAAAGTGTTTCTCCCACTCTCTTCTGCGTGTATATTATTTACATAGTTCCAATCTTGAGAGGATAGGACTTTTAACAGGAATTTTCCTAAGAAACTTTAGGGAAAGAATTGAAATAAACAACTGAGCTAGAAGGAGCTTAAAGGGCAACAGCATCTCCTGCTCTTAGTAAAGATGACCTCATCCTTGGTGTTCTCTAGAGGCGAAGTCTCCCAGGAGGAGCCCTGGGCTTTCTCCCTCTTTGTGGGGCCAGGAGGGATCGAGCAAGCCTATGTCCAGCTTGGCCACGATCTCAGCTCATCTGCTTTGCGCTGGGTATGGGCCTCCGTGACATTCTAGTTTGTCCCTGAGCCTGGGTGTGGAAAATGCTCCCGTAAAATTGGTCCCCAGACACCTCCTTTGGACTCCACATCAGCCTGTGCCGCTGGCCCTCTGACTATGTTTTCTATGCTTTTTTGTGGCTGGCCCCTGGGATTGTGCCTCTTGCCTTTGGCCAGCACTCTCTATCCATTTCTGTTGGCACAGAGTGCATTCAGTAGCTGGCTATCCCTCTGGCCACTGCCATCTTCCTAGAAGCCTCTCTCTCTACCTTATCCTCTCCCCTTTTCCAGAAACACTTTTCTCTCAGAGCTCAAACTCTGCTATTCCTAGCCAAGGGACACACCTAGTTATTGGAATGATTTTCAGAACACAGAAGAGGAACATTCCTCTTTTCCCTGCATACGTGGCACGGCTACACTCAGTGGTTCTCAAAGTGTGCTCCCTGGACCTGCAGCATTAGCACCAGCTGGAGCATTAGCCATGCAAACTGTCAGACTCTGCCCCCCAATCTGCTGAATGAGAAGCTCTAGGGGAAGAGCCCAGTAACCTGCATCAGAACATACCCCCGGGTGATTCTAATGCACCCCAAGTCCAAGGACCACTGCTCTTTTGTCCAAGGAATGATGCTATTTTGCAAAAGGCAAGGTCTTCTATGAATGTGAGACAAAGCTTGAAGAAACTGAGGGAGGTGAACCCCCAAACAGAAAGACATGCTGGTGTTTCCAGTTTAGATGTATTCCATAGGCTGGAAACTGGGGCTATGTCACATTTTCATTGGGACACAGGACCTTGCAGCCTCAGAAAAGTTTGTGTTCGATTCTGGTCTGAAAAGGAGGATGAGGGTGAGGTGAGCTTCAGGGGCCAGCCAAGGTGGAGCCCTTCACCTGGGGCCATGAGGTTAATATTGAGAATAGAGTTAGAAACTTGCCAAGGACAGCAGTGAAGCATGAAGGGGCCAAATCAGCTGCCAGCCTCTGGTTAGAGAGCCAGCCTCAGACCAGCCAGATGGTGCTGAGAGATGTGAGTTAGACTGGCAGTAAGACTTCTCAGGGGACTGTTCCCAGATGGATCTCAAAGTGTCTAAAAGGTTCATGTAGGTGACCTGAAGGGAGAAGGTGAACTCTGGGACAGGCTTATCTCCCAGGAAGGACCAGACATCATCAGGAAGCACTCAAGGGGTGTGTGTGTGTGTGTGTGTGTGTGTGTTGGTGATGATAGGTTGGGGGACTAAGGGGAGAGAGAGAGAGAAGGTTTGGGGAAGGATAAAGCCCTCATAGGTCTTGAGTAGATGCCCATCCAAGGCCTCCCAGGCTGGGGTATTCTAGGGCAGTGAGTAAGAGAGGGATGAAGATCCTGCATGCCCAGAAAACCTTTTCAGCCAAGAAAACTCTAACAAAGCTTCACTTCATCCTCAACCCAGAAGTCTCTACGTGGCCTTTCATCTGGTTTTATACTTTGGTATTTACTGTGTTGATTTCCTCGCAGTTCTCTTGGTTTAGGAGAGTACCTTTTGAAATTTCCAATCCTACTTGGCTGAATGAAGGTGTCCCCATCACAGCCAACATAGCAAAGCAGAACAGAGCGTCCTTATTAGCTGTTCTAGCTAGACGGCCCAGCAAAATGCTGCACTGTTCCCAGATGTCCATTCCTTCCATTTCCCCAGAGGCTGACACTCCAGGAGACCCTGCCTGGAGCAGGGGCTGGCAGATTTTCTGTGGGGTTCCTGCAAATAATCATAACACTTTACATGTGTACTTGAAGGGGGTTTGTTCTTTCACAGGCATGGACTACACATAGAGATTTGGGTTAAGGATCTAATAAAACATAAAGCGTGGCCACACATTTAGCTACTAGAGCATGAGCTCTCTGAGGACAGGGATCATATCTCTTATTTTTGTGTCTTCAGGGCCCAGAATGATGCCAGGTACAAATTCAGGAAACATATTTGTGGAACTTTGAGCAGGTGGGCCTTGTTTTTGAAGGGCCTACAACCCTGCTGAAAAGACAAGGAAAGTACCTAAAAGGAAATGTCACGATGTGGGTCACACCCAAGTTACACGGCCAGGGGCAGGTGTCTAGGGGAAGGCTTAGGCTGGGGCAGCTGCCTCAAGGAGGAAGTGAGACTTGTCCCTCATCTGCTTCACCTGTTACGACAGGAACAGGTTTATGAGAAGCCTCCTCGTGCCCAGAGGGTCAGGATTGCCAGGGAAAAGCCAGAGAGAGAGTCCTGGCGTGTGTCAGGTAGAATTCTGGCAGACAGCTGATGAACAGGTTCAAAAGGTAGTGCCCAGGGACTTCCCTGGTCTTCTTCCAGTGATTAAGAATCTGCCTTCCAATGCAGGGGACTTGGGTTCAATCTCTGGTCAGGGAACTAAGATCCCACATGCCTCAAGGCTAGGTCCTCATTCTACAACTAAGAGCCAAAGCAGTCAAATAAGTAAATAAATATATTTTTTAAAGGTAGTCCCCATAAGAGGGGACTCTGAGGTCACACTGCCTGGGTTTAAATCCCTGCCTCCTTAGGCAAGCCACTTAATCCTTTTGTACATCAGTTTCCTCATCTGTCCAATGGGAATAATCTGACCTACCTCATTAGATTCTTAAGAGAATTAAGTGAGTTTACATATGTAAATTGCCTTGAACGGGAGCTGGCATGGAGTAGGTGTTCTAGATGTGTTTGCTGATATCACCCATGCTCCCCAGCTGTATAGGGCCAAGATCTACACAATCTCATGCTGACTCTGCCTAGACCTTGGAGAAAGAAGGGATCAGGGGCATTGAGCAGCAGGGGTGAGCGGCAGCCCTGATCCACCCAGTACTTTCTCTCTTGCAGACAGAGGGGGCGAGCCCCCCATTCACAGCACGGGTGCCCAGCTCTGCCTCAGCCTATGACCAGAGAGGATTAGCCCCTGGTCAGGAGTACCAGGTCACTGTCCGTGCCCTTCGAGGGACTAGCTGGGGCCCTCCTGCCTCCAAGACCATCACCACCAGTGAGAGCTGGGGCTGTTGTGGGGGGGGGACGGTCATGGGTGGAGAATGGATTTGAGAAGGAGGGGCTGGGATATGCCCTCTAAGAGGGCAGAGGGGAGGGACTGGCTGGGGGCAAGGCTCTTAGCAGGACAGCTGGTGACCGAAGAACCAGGCTCCCACCTAATGCCTCCTCTCTCTGACCTGGCTAGTGATTGACGGTCCCCAGGACCTCCGCGTGGTGGCTGTGACACCAACCACCCTGGAGCTCAACTGGCTGCGCCCCCAGGCTGAAGTGGACCGGTTTGTGGTGTCCTACGTCAGTGCTGGCAACCAGAGGGTGCGGCTGGAAGTGCCCTCTGAGGCAGACGGGACGCTGCTGACCGGCCTGATGCCAGGTGTAGAATACGTGGTGACCGTCACTGCTGAGCGGGGCCGGGCAGTAAGCTACCCAGCTTCCATCAGAGCCAACACAGGTATGGCTGGCCACGGGCTGGGGAAGTTTCTGAGCCCAGGAGCCACTTCCTTGGGAAGCCGTGTGTCCGGCTCATGGGCTCTTCCGAATGCACAGCACGGGGTGTGTGGCAGTCCCAAAGCACCTGCTGCTGGCCCTGCTCTGTACCAGGGGCTCTGAGGAGACGGAGTTCTCAGGTGCTTGGAGTCCTGTAGGAAGGCGGTGGGTTGGAGTTTGGGAAGAGCAGCCTCATGGAGAGAAGCAGTATATAGAAAATGCTGCCGGGCCCAACCAGATAGGGGTGGTTCTGATCTGAACTTGGGCACAGGGACCCCCCTGTGCTCCATCTCAGTGGTCAGGTCTCCTGGGACTGGAGCTGGGGAGATTAGAGATCAAGCCGCCTGTTGACTTTAGAATCGGGGTTTGGGGGAGTTAGGTCTCAGCAGTAATTTTCCACTAACCCTCCAAGTCTCTTAACAGATGCCTGGATCTTTCTTTCCCTTTCCTGTGACAGAGGGACGCCCACCTCGCTGTCGCTCGCGTTCTCTCCTCCCACGCCCCTTTCTCTCCTTCAGACGCAGGGCCCCACCCGCTCGTTTCTTCTTTCTAGGACACCAACAGTGGCGGGCTTGGAGGGCGAAGCGGGAGGGCGTCCTGGGGCACTAACTTCTCTCGGTTCTCTTTGCAGGTGGGGTGGGAGGGACGCGGGCGGGGCTGCCGTGGGGGGAGTGCAGGGGCTGGTGGTGGGGGGTGCTGCCACTGACCGGCTCTCTCCTCCCCCTTTTTCCGCCCCCGGCAGCACCAGGCCACTACAGTTACCCGGAGGCGCACCCCCCAGCCCCGCCCCCCAAGCCCCGGCCCCGGCCGGCCCCAGCCCCGCGGCCCCCGCGGCCCGCGCGCCCGGCGCCGCCTCCTCGGCCCTCGAGGCCTGCGGAGCAGGGGGAGGCGGAGTCTCCGCCGCGGCCGAGCCCGCCCCAGCCCCCTAGGCGGGCGTGGGGCAACCTGACGGCCGAGCTGGGCCGCTTCCGCGGCACGGTGCAGGACCTGGAGCGTCACCTGCGGGCTCAAGGCTACCCACTGCGAGCCAACCAGACCTACACGTCGGTGGCGCACCACATCCACGAATACTTGCAGCGGCGTCGCTCCCCTGCACCCCCGCCCGGTCGCCCCCACCCCACCGCCAGCCCCGACTCGGGCACCTGGAAGCGGGACTCCAACCAGGGCATCTACGGCCTCTCCCCCGAAGGCGTCGACCGGGTGGCGGCGCCCCGCCACCCCAAGCCCGAGGTGCTGGGCACTTCCGCCGACGGCGCGCTCCTCGTGTCGCTCGACGGGCTCCGCGGCCACTTCGAACGCGTGGTGCTGCGCTGGCGGCCGCAGCCGCCCGCGGAGGGGCCCGCTGGGGAGCTGACCGTGCCGGGCACCGGGCGCACCGTCAGTCTGCCCGATCTCAAGCCCGGCACCACCTACCACGTGGAGGTCCACGGGGTGCGGGCAGGGCAGACCTCCAAGTCCTACGCCTTCATCACCACCACAGGTAGCGTGGGTGGGGCCGCGCGACCCCCCACCCCCTGCCCAGTCTCACCTGCCGTCGGAGTCTCTGAGCGCCTCCCACTGCCTCACTGCTCAGGCGGCCGCTCCGCCACCTGTGCCCTTCTGCCTTGCAGCCCTCCCTGGTTCTGGCTCCGGGGCATCCCCACGCCTTCCTGTGTCCCTGGAAACCCCCTCACCCTCAGGATCCTGGTGGATACCCGAGACCAAGGAGACCTGGTCTTTGGAATTATCTGATTTTCACTTGGGTTCCTAGGACACTTCTGCCAGGAATCCTGTTCTAGGCAATAGAAGGGTCATTTGATGGGAGGGAGTGTCCTCAAAGATTCTCTGGAGCAGTTTGGGTGGGGTAGGGAGTGAAACCAGTGGTTTCCCACTGTGACTCACTGTGGTGAGGGTAACTGACAGCTGTGGTCAGTGGTTACTATTTTCCATACTTTGGCCCTAACCTCAAAGGGCCGCATCGGAACTGCTTGGGGGTGGCCTTGAAACCATTAGGCAGCATGGTAGGTGAGAGTTGAAGCCACTGCTTCTTGGGCTGCCTTTCCAGACCTCCTGGCTCAGTTCACGCTTGTCTCTCCCACAGGAACGGAGTCCTGGCTCGGGGAGGGGGCACCCTGTGGCTGTCAGGGGGAGGGGTTATGGACCTCTTCTTCCCCCATAGGGCCCAGATGTCACTGGAGCTGGATGTCCACTCCTGTCTCTCTCCTGACTGCCCACTGTCTCTTGAGTCTGCCTTCCTTAACACCACCGTCTTCTCCTTTCTTCCAGGCTTCTCACTGCAGCACTAATGGAAGCCAGGACCACCACCCAGTGGGGAGGGTCTCCTGTGGGGAGGGAGCTAGGAACCTTGTGGGAGGAGGGATGGCAGACTTAGTTCTTCTATTTATGACCTGCAGGCTCGTCTGTGCAGGGCTATAATGGATGTTTGGGACAATGAGGTGACCCAGGGGGTGATCCAGGAGCGACCAAGGGGAAGTCTGAAGACTGTCAGAGGCCAGAGAGCAGAACCTGGGGACTTCGGTCTCCTTTCTGGCTCTCATACTCGACTCTCCTGTTTTTCTTGCCCTGCCTCTCCCCAGGGTCCTCCCCCTCAGGCCTCTTGGGGGCCACTGATGAGCCTCCTCCCTCAGGCCCTTCAACGACTCAAGGGGTTCAGGCCCCGGTCCTGCAGCAGCGCCCCCAGGAGCTGGCCGAGTTGAGGGTGCTGGGCAAAGACAAGACAGGGCGCCTCCGAGTGGCCTGGACCGCCCAGCCTGACACCTTTACCCACTTCCAGCTGCACCTACGGGTGCCCGAAGGGCCAGGGGCCCATGAGGAGCTGCTGCCAGGGGATGTCCGTCAGGCTCTGGTGCCCTCACCCCCTGCTGAATCCCCCTATGAGCTGTCACTTCGTGGGATCCCTCCCAGCGGCGAGCCCTCTGCCCCTCTCATCTACCAAGGCATTATGGGTACATCCTGGACTCTGCTCAAGTCCAGTGTCCTGAGGCTCAGGGAGGGGCTGGGCCATTAGGACTTCAGGGCTGGGGTGGAGACTGAAGGATGGGGCTGGTGTTTGGGTCGAGCCACTGGAAGAAACAAGGAGAGAAAAGGAGTTGAGGGCTCAGAGGCAAGAGGGATAGGGAAGGTCTTAGCCCAACGAAAGGGTGGATCGCAGAGGGGAGTCCTTCCAGGTAAATAGGAGAGAGGAGAAAAGTCAAAGCATGGGACAAAGATTCAGGGAGAGAGACTGTCGGCCCCTGGCTCTCCATTTGCAGCTTTCTTTGTGTAGAAGTGTCCTGCCCCCGCTTCCTGGTCACTCCTCTGCCCTCTCCGCCCCCTGTGTCTCTCAGGGTGGGTGTGGGAAGGCCTCTGGCCCCCAGGATACTGATCCTCAGCCCCCTCCTTTTCCCTTCTCTCAAGCCCCTGCCATCCCCTCACTGAACAGACTAGGACACCTTGTCCCCCCGCCCTGCAAGCCTGGTCTGCAGTGCCCCATGGTCCCATCAGCCAGTTCCCGCTAGGGGTGGAGGTTCCCTGGGGAGGGTGCTCCACGGCCATCGGGATTCAGAGATGGGTGAGGTTTGTGGAACCCGGGCAGGAGCCTGGGGCTCCTGGCATTCACAGTTTCTCCTGGTCCCCCTTTATGGGACTCGGGTAGCCAGCTCTCCCTGCAACTCCAGATCAAGCTCACCGCTGGGGAGAGGGTGGTGAGGGAGAGAGACGTTCCGGTGGACTAAGGCATCTCCAGGCTGCTCTGAAGCAGCGAGGGTTCAGAACTCTCAGGAAGAACCTCGGGGGACACGAAACTCCCTCAGAGTGTTGGTGTGTAGAGGGCCTGGGACCTTTGTGTGTGGGGAGGAAGTTATCATAGGGAAGAGTGGAAGATCTTGCTCCAGAGTAGACATTGGGGAGAAATGCCCCCCTTCTTAGAAAGGCTGGTCCCAGAGAACTGAGGGCAGGGAATGCAGGCATCAAGGGAGGGAGGCATCCAGCATGAAGGGAGCCAGGGGGCAGAGGAGAGGGACGAAGAGCAGGGACAAGACAGTGCTTGAGCCCACGTGCTTTGTTTTTGCACCACCCCCCCAACTCCAGACAAGGATGGGGAGAAACCTGGGAAGCCCTTGGCCCCACCTCGCCTGGGCAAGCTGACAGTGACGGACGTGACCTCCGACTCCCTGCTTCTGCACTGGACAGTCCCTGAGGGCGAGTTCGATTCCTTCGTGATCCAGTACAAAGACAGGGACAGGCCCCAGGTGGTGCCTATAGAGGGGCCCCAGCGCACAGCCCTCATCTCCAACCTGGACGTCGGCCGCAAGTACAAATTTGTCCTGTACGGGCTCGTGGGCAAGAAGAGGCACGGCCCCCTGGTGGCTGAAGCCAAGATCTGTGAGTGACAAGGGTCATCCAGGACCCTGCCCCTACCCTCTGCGCGGTCCTGATGGAGGCCTCCCCAGTGCTTTGGGAACTCCCGGAAGTCTTCCTGGAGGCGGTGGTGCCTGAGCTGAATCCTAAAGGGAAAATTGTGGTGGGTCAGGCAGGGAGATTGAGGAGGGCAGTGCCAACAGAGGGAGCTGTGAAGAGTGAGGCAGGAGTGAGAGTGGCCCTGCAAGAGAATCTAAGTCTGTCCTCTGGATAGCAGGGCAGGGCACCTGGGGGCTGAGGACACTGATCTCACTGATCTCCAGTGTCTGAGTGAGTCACTTTGGCCTCATTTGAGGACCCTAGGGGGCCTCTGAAGGGCTTTAAGTGAGAGAGTGACCTGATTCAATATTTATCTTACAAATAGCTCTGAAGCTGCTGCAGAGGACAGCTGGAGAAGTGAGTTAGGAACCAGCAAGGGAGGATGCTGGCCTGGCGGGGATGGTGGCAGTGAGGCTGGGGATGGGTGGGGAGAAGGAGAGCGAGGAGGCCCAGGCACCCCACGCTTCTGGATCCGGCCGTCCTGTTCCTTGAGGCAAGGAACAGCGGATGTGAGGAACGGTGCAACAGTGCAGCAACACTTAGTCAAACGTCTTTTGAGCGTTTAAGTGTCAGATGTGTTCAAGATGTTCTAAGTGAATGATCACACTTAATCCTCACAAGCAGCCCTGAGGCATGTTCATTTCACAGATGAGAAGGGCGGCACAGAGTGGGCAAGGCCACTCAGGCAGAAAGTGAGGGGGCCATGGCACTCTCCCGCTGCCCTCCTGGGACCGGAGAGCAGAGAAAAGGCCTGAGGACGGAGCATGGGTGTCCCAGTGGGCATAAGCCAGGGTGGGGAAGCAGAGAGAAGGGACATGGCCCCTGGGACCCTGGAGGTGGCCATCACTCATGGCATGAACAGAGGATCAAGCGCCTGCAGGGCAGCCTGAGGGGTGAACTGGGGAGAGGAATGCCAAAATGAAGGGAGCGGTCAGACATGTCAGATTACGTAAGAGTGACTCAGGGTTGCGGAGTGTCCACAGGACTTAGCTATGGCGAGGTCACCACTGACCCTGGTGGGAGCTGCTGGTGGAGGGCAGGGCTGGGTTGGGAGGGCAATGAAGGTGAGGACATGAGTACAAGCATCTCTCTCTGGAATCTGGGCTGGAGTGGAGACCGAAGAGGGAGGGTGGAGGCTGGAGAGCGATGCAGCCGAGTGGAGGAGTTTGCGTAAATCCTGAGGGCACAGCTGATGGAGTGAGAGTGGGAGCGGATGAAGTGGGGCCCAGAGCACAGTTGTGGGGGGCTTTCCCACATGAAAATGCTCCAAGGACCATGCGTCCCTCTCTTGGAGAGGAAATCAGCTCATCATTAGGTCTGGAAGCAGTGGAGGCTGTCCTGGAAGACTTCCCTGGCTGTGGAGATGTGGAAGGGGCTCACTGCGCTTCCTTCTCTCTGAAGCCCCTCTCCAGACTGCGGAATAAGTGAAGGCCACACTAGTCCGTACAGTGGGCCTTCCTGGTGACTCAGCGGTAAAGAATCTCCCTGCCAATGCAGGAGGTTCAGGTTCGATGCCTGGGTTGGGAAGATCCCCTGGAGGAGGGCATGGCAAACCACTCCAGGATTCTTGCCTGGAGAATTCCATGGACAGAGGAGCCTGGCGGGCTACAGTCCATAGAGTGGCAAAGAGTCAGACACGACTTAGCAACTAAACAACAACAGTTAAGACAGTGCTTTCATGCCATGTCAAATAAACCACATGTTCTTTTAGGTGGGCATAGCCGCTTGCCAGGGTGCACAGCTTGGCAAGCAGAGTGCTGGCTGGATTTCAGTCCCTCAGTGCTGCCTTCACCATGCACCTTTGTGCAGTGAACAGCCTGCACAGCCTCACACAGCATTCCCAGGGAGGAGATGGATTTCTTCTTCTCTTTTGACCCGTGTCCCTCCCTTCTCTCCCACCTCCTATTCCTAGTGCCTCAGACTGATCCCAGCCCTGTGACTCCGCCCCGCCTGGGGAAGCTGTGGGTGACTGATCCCACCCCAGACTCACTGCACCTCTCCTGGACTGTCCCTGAGGGCCAGTTTGACTCCTTCGTGGTCCAGTACAGGGACAAGGACGGACGGCCCCAGGTGGTGCCCGTGGAAGGGCCCGAGCGCTCGGTCATTATCTCCCCGCTGGACCCTGACCACAAGTACAGATTCACTCTGTTTGGGATTGCCAACAAGAAACGGCACGGCCCCCTCACGGCCGATGGCACCACCGGTGAGTGGCAGCCTCCTAAGCCCCCAGCCTTACAGGGGGGCTGACCCCTAAGGCTGACCCCTCCCAGCCTTCCACATGCCTGCCCTCAGCCAGGAGCTGGCTGGGGCCTCCCAGCGAGATGGCTGACGCGGAATCCTGGCCCCGCTTTTCGGCTCAGCGCCAGCCAGCCTCCCCCGCACTGCTGGGCCCCTTTCATCCTGTTCAGCTGCTCCCCGAAGCCCAGAAGGTGTGTCATACTCTGGCTGTGCCAGGCTTCTTAGAGTTCAGCACTCATGCTAATCGAGTAGAGACCCCCACAGGTGTGACAAGCCTTCCAAACCCCAGGCCCCAACCCTGGGGTTCTGCCAGTTCAGCCCCGCCTGGGCCTTCTTATTTACAGCCCCAGAGAAGAAAGAGGAGCCCCGCCATGCAGAGCCCCCAGAGCAGCCCCTGCTGGGGGAGCTGACAGTGACTGGCACCACTGCAGACTCCCTGCGCCTCTCCTGGACAGTGGCCCAGGGCTCTTTCGACTCCTTCGTGGTCCAGTACAAGGATGCCCAGGGGCGGCCCCAAGCAGTACCCATCAGGGGTGATGAGAATGAGGTCTCCATCCGCCGCCTGGAGCCCAATCGGAAGTATAAGATGAACCTCTATGGGCTTCATGGCAGGCAGCGCGTGGGGCCTGTGTCCGTGGTGGCCACCACAGGTGAGTCAGGCCTCCTCACCCGCCAACCCCTAGCCCTCTGAGTGGGACCTGGCCTTGGCGCCTCTCTGCACCTTCTCTTCCTTGGCTCCATTCTGCCAAAGCCTCCGCCGTCTGAAGGCTTCCCTTATCTCAGGATTTCACATCCAGCCGCCAGCCCCTGACATCTTTCTTGGCCCTGCTTCTCCAGCTCCAAGGACAGGCCCCTTTTCCGCCATTCTGAGAACTGAGAATCATCCATCCCGCTGGGCTATCCTCCCACTTCATGTCCTCAGCCACGGTGTTATTTCCTCGTGGCCTTTGCTGGCCTTCTTCTCCTGGCTGAGGCTGTGGTCTCTTCTGAGCTTCTATTACCTGCTGCCCACACCCTCCCTCCACCGATGCCCTTTTCAGAACTGGCAAATCCAAGGCACATGAGCTCCACATTTCCCCAGCCCCCTGAACTCACTGAGTCCCAGACAGCTTGGAGCAGGGCAAAGGGCTCGCTTTCAGCCCCCAGCCCTACATTCCTCCTAGGGCCCAGCCTCCCCCATCCAGCACATTTCCCTGACTGTGTAGCATTGTGGTTGGGAGTATGGGCCCTAGAGCCAACTGCCTGGATATTAATCCTAGCTTTGGGATCTTGTGCAACTTAATGAGTCTCTCTGGGCCTCAGCTTTCTCACCTGTCAAATGGGGATAACAAGGGTACACAGCTTCACAGAGCTATTAGAATTAAATGGGTTAATACACTTAGTGCCTAGCACGTCAAAACTGCTATTGAAGAGTAGGCCATCGTTTCTCCCTGACTCTCTCCCTTCCCAGTATCCTTTTCTTCTCCCCACCTTTCCACCTTCCCCTTCCTTGTCTGGGTTATCATTCTTGCTTGCTGCTTCCTCAATCTTCTGTGCCCAAAGTGGTCCCCCATGGGCCGGGGAGTGGGTCACAGAAGGGCTGTCTTCCCTTGTGCCAGTCTCCCCACCTCACGGAGCCTCAGCAGAGACCTGGCTACTGCGGACGGTGGGTGGATACCCTTGTGACTGTGATTCTTCCCCCAGCCAGGGAAGAGCACGGCTCTCCCCAGCCCCCAGCCCCATTCCCATACCCTTTCCCCTACTCGTGTATGAAGTGGAGGAAGAGACAGGGCTGCCCGGGGAGGTCTTAGCCAGAGCACACCCCATTTTCTGTCCTGGTCAGTGGGGTTAGGGGAGCTGGGCAACCCTGGGGAGGGGCAGCAACTGACAGGGAGAAGTGCAAGTGGGACAAGTCCTTGCTGCCCCCTCGCTTTCCTGCGGTCAGCACACTCCATGAACACAGTATGGAAGAATTCCTCAGTTTTCTCTCATCCTGCCTCACCTCCTTTCTCAGACATGAGAGCCCAGCCAGTGCAATTGGCCAGCAGTACACGGTGGGGTTTAGGGGCCTGTCTCTGCGCTTTCTCCTTCAATGAGTCACTGAATGGCTAATACAAAGGCTACAGGAACTCCTAAGCCAACAGCTTGAAGAGTATACTTGCCACATGTACTTTATGTCATGATTAATGTCACCACCAAAGCATGTCACCTGAGAGCCTAATCTCTTCTCTCAGTCCCTCAGGAAGTCCTGGATGAGACCCCCAGTGCCACAGAGATGGAGGAGACCCCCAGCCCCACAGAACCCAGCACAGAGGCCCCGGAGCCACCCAAGAAGCCCCTCCTGGGGGAGCTGACGGTGACAGAATCCTCCCTGGACTCGCTGAGCCTCTCCTGGACTGTCCCCCAGGGCCACTTTGACTCCTTCACCGTCCAGTACAGAGACGGGGACGGGCAACCCAGGGTGATGAGGGTGCCAGGGGATGAGGATGGGGTCACCATCTCGGGCCTGGAGCCAGACCACAAGTACAAGATGAACCTATATGGCTTCCATGACCGCCAGCGTGTGGGCCCCGTCTCTGTCATCGGGGTGACCAGTGAGTAGACTGTGGAAGCCCCAGGATGGGAACTAGTGGGGAGATCACCCCCTCAGGTGATGGGGGAGTGGGGTGTGGGAGGTTTCTCTCCTTGAGGCTGAGCCATGGTGACCTTTGTGGGTCTTCCTGGGCAGAGAAGGGCCTCCGTGAGCTGTGCTGGTGGCAGCCCTGGTCCCCACAGCTGATGCCGGGGGCTCCGGGCATGTCTGTGAGGTGTGGACTGAGCAGGACCACCAGCCTCCTTAGGCTTCTCTGAACTGACCTCAGGGCCCCCGGTGGGGACCGTGGCTTGGGAGGAGACCCAAGGACATCTCCTGGGGACCCTGCCTCACCCACTCTGTGTGTTCCTCCTTCTCAGCTGCAGAGGAAGAGACCCCTAGCCCCACAGAGATGGAGGAGACCCCCAGCCCCACAGAGATGGAAGAGACCCCCAGCCCCACAGAACCCAGCACAGAGGCTCCGGAGCCCCCCGAGGAGCCCCTCCTAGGGGAGCTGACAGTGACAGGATCCTCCCCAGACTCGCTGAGCCTCTCCTGGACCGTCCCCCAAGGCCACTTCGACTCTTTCACCGTCCAGTACAAGGGCAGGGACGGGCCCCAGGTGGTGCGTGTCAGGGGCGAGGAGACCGAGGTGACCGTTGGGGGCCTGGAGCCCGGACACAAGTACAAGATGAACCTGTACGGCCTGCACGGAGGGCGACGCGTGGGCCCCGTGTCCACCGTGGGCGTGACCGGTGAGTTAGTGTGGGGCCTTTGTTGGCTTTCCTCCCCTCAGTGGCCCGGAGGCTCCCTGTGGCGTCTCCCTTCCTTGCTGCGATGGAACCCCCTGCTTGGGGACGACCTAGAAAGAACAGTTCACTGCGGACTGGGCTACAACCAGCTGCACCACCTTGAGCGAGTTTTCAACTTACTGTGTTTGTTTTCTCAGCCGTAAAATGGGGTTAATAATGCCCACCTCACAGAACTGTTGTGAGATTAAGTGAATTAGCGCAGGCCTGGCTCAGAGTAAACATGCTGGCAGTGTTGGCCACTACGATGATTATATCTGGCCTTACCCTGGGGTCTGCTCTGTTCCCTTTGGCTGATTCGGCTTCTTAGAATGTGCATGAGACATTGGCCTCTTCACCAGGGAAGCTGGAAGCTTCCTTTATGACTCATCCGATGAGTGATTACAGCAAAGAAGACTGTCCCTTCCACCCAGGTACAGGGCCCCTCAGCCACCGCAGAGGACCCGCCTGGGCACCCACTCTGCAGAGCCCCAGGGCCAGGCCCAGGCCCCAGACAGGCTTCTGTGACCCTCCTGCTGGTCTGCCCAGCTTGGCCCCAGGGACAGGGCGTCTCTTTTTTCCTTTGTTCACTGAAACAAAGACACAGATTTTTCAAAAGCAACTTTTATTCTAAAGGGAAAGATTTTTAAAAGCAGAGAAACATGTTTCTGGAACATGGTTTCTGTATTTCTCAAAGGAGCTTGGTTGGCTTAGTGTCCAGAGTCTTTCACCCCTGATTTCCTTTCTTTCTTCAGTCAGCACAGAGAGTGGGGAGAGGGGAAAGCCTCAGTGGGTTACTGTCCTGTGGGCCTAAAGTAGAAAGGTGGAGGCTTGTGTCAGGCCTAGGACATACGGCCAAGGTTTCTCCTGGGGTCACCTTAGGTCCATTTGTCTGGGGCAGCCACGCTGGTCCCTGGGCACGTGCGTGCATGCAAGTTGCTTCAGTTGTGTCTGACCCTATGGACTGTAGCCTGCCAGGCTCTTCTATCCATGGGATTCTCCAGGCAAGAATATTGGAGTGGGTTGCCATGCCCTCCTCCAGGGGATCTTCTCCACCCGGGGATCAAACCCACGTCTCTTATGTCACCTGCATTGGCAGGCAGGTTCTTTACCACTAGCTCCACTTGGGAAGCCCAGTTCCCAGGTAAGGATGGACTATGTCGGGCCCTGACTGGGGCAGTGCAGTAGAGGACAGTTGACTCTTGGAATCGAAGAAACTGCATTCCATTCTTAGCTTCTCAGTTTTAAGCTGTGCGATGGAGCTCATTATCCAAGCAAGAAGGCGATGGGCAGCTGGAGCCTGCTGAGCTGACCGAGGGACTATGCCTGGCACACAGCACGTGCTGAGCCGTTGCTAGGAGAAGAACTAACGTGCAGCTTTAGAAACATTGCTAAATTGGGAAAGGATTTTACCAAATGCAGCATGGGGACTGCAGTACCCACGGGTAGTTATCATTCCACCTTCCCCAGTTGAGCCAAAGCACCAGCGATAAGGCTTGATGGTGAGGACAGTTTCTCTCTCGTGGAAAGAAGTGCAGAGAGGGCGAAAACAAGCAGGAAATGGAAGCTACAGGAACAACAGAGTTGGAAGGCAAATTCAATGGAACACAACACCTGGCCTGGTTCCTGAACCTAAGAGAAGCTCAGTACATGGTGGTCACTCCCTCCCTCCTTCAGCTGCCTCCATCCCTGCCCTTCCCACTCAGACTTACTTCTGTCCTTCTGAGGCCTCATCACCAGCCCATTTTTACTTTAATTTTTTAAAAAAATTTTTTGGTCAAGCTGATGGCTTATAGGATTTCAGGACCAGGGATTGAACCCATTCCCCCTACAGTGGAAGCATCAAGTGCTAACCAAGAACCACCAGGGGATTCTCATGCCAGCCCCACCTCCCCGTTTTAAGTCTATTTACTTACTTTTAACTGTTCTGGGTCTTCATTGCTTCACAGGCTTTTCTCTGGTTGTGGTGAGTGAGCGCAGCTCTCTAGTTGTGGTGCGGGGGCTTCCTATTGCAGTGGCTTCTCTTGTTGAGGAGCATGGGCTCGAGACATGCTGGCTTCTGGAGCTGTGGCTCGAGGGCTCAGTGGCTGTGTCTCCTGGGCTCTAGACACAGGCTCCATGTTCCTGGATCAGGGGTCGGACCCACGTCTCCAGCACTGGCAGGTGGATTCTTTACCACTGAGCCACCAGGGAAGCCCCCCAGCCCATTTTGAAAGCAGGTTTTATGAGTACAGAGCCTAATCTTATCCTCCCACAGGAACCTGAGAAACAGGATCTTGGGAACCCACCCACCTAGCCACCCCTCTGCTACTTGCCTCTTGGGACCACTTTCCAGGCTGGTCCTAATAAGCAGTGCCTCCCAGACTCAGCTCGCTCTGGGGCAGTGGGGACTATCGGGTCCTTAGCTCAGCCTCTCCCAGATGTGCATACCACTCATTAATTTAACAAACATTGTAGAGCACCCACTGGGTGCCAGTGCTGGGGACACAGCAGTGAATAAGGCAAGGCTCCTTCCGGGAGCTCACATTCTATCAGAGGAGACAGGCACCAAATTGCACAAATGTGTCTGTAGGGCTGTGTGTGAGACAGTGACAAGAGCTGGGGAGAAAAGCAAAGCCCAGTAGGCGAGATGGTGAGTGGGTGGGAAGCGGGCTGGAAAGGGACTCGCTGAAGAAGGACCTGCCGGAGGGAGAGGACAAGTCATGCAGGCCTCTGGGGAAGAGCTTCCGGGCAGAGGGAATGTCTGAGGACCAGTGAGGACTGTTTTGGAATGAGGAGGGTGGTGTGAGAGGTAAACATGTGGGGCCTCGGAGGGAGGTCATTGTAAGGACTTGGCTTTTTGCTCTGAGTGAGATGGAAGCCATGGCGGGAACAGGCTCTGACTAATGTGCTAACAGTGGGGAACACAGTGAAGAGGGGAGGAGGAGAGGGATTTAGGAGACTGTGCTATAATCCAGTAAGACCCATGTGCTTAGAGGAGGTGAGTGGTAGTCGCTCAGTTGTGTCCGACTCTTTGCAACCCCATGGGCTGTATCCTGCCAGGTTCCTCTGTCCATGGAATTCTCCAAGCAAAGACACTGGAGTAGGTTGCCATTTCCTTTTCCAACTTAGAGGGGGTGGTGGTGGACTTAAGGAGTAGGGCAGTCAGCTTCTGAAGGCAGTGCCGACAGGACTTACTCGCAGGCCGGCCGTGGGGTGGAGGAGAGGACTCAGGGATGACTCTGACAGTGAAGCAGAGATTTTGATGAGGTGGGAAGGCTGTGGAGGGAACAGGAGTTGCGGGGGAAAGCCCCTGAACTTGGCTTTGGACTGGAATTTGGGATCAGTTAGGCACCCAAGGAAGATGGTGAGCACACACCCAAGTCTGGGGATCAGCTGGGAGGTCTGGCTGGAGGACTTGGAGCCAGAGATGGGCAGATGGACCTTCAGCCACTTTCCCAGGGTCTCGGTGGTGACTGACACCCCTCCCCACCAAGCACAGCCCCAGATTCTGGCAGGCACTTAGTGAAGGCTTGTCGGCCAGACAGATGTTGCCAATCAGTGTAGTCTTACATCAGAACCACCCCGTGGGCACCACCACAACAACACAGGTAATTACTACCAAGGGGAAGAGGGGCTTTTCCTGACAGCCTCCCCCATTTCTGTCTCAGCTCCACAAGCAGAAGAGACTCCTCCGGCCACCGAGCCCCCCAAGGAACCACGCCTCGGGGAGCTGACAGTGACAGATGTGACCCCCAACTCCGTGGGCCTCACATGGACAGTCCCTGAGGGTCAGTTTGACTCTTTCGTGGTCCAGTACAAGGACAGGGACGGGCAGCCCCACGTGATCCCTGTGGCCGCAGACCAGCGAGAGGCCACTGTCTCCGGGCTGGAGCCTGAGCGCAAATACAGGATGAACGTGTATGGGCTACATGGTGGGCAGCGCGTGGGCCCCCTCTCCGTGGTGGCCCTGACCGGTGAGTGAGGGTGGGTCAAGGCAGTCCCCATCCCTGGTCACCCAGGGCCACCCCCCATCCCCAGCCTCTCGCTCAGATCCTCCCCAGTCACAGGCATGTGGTCTGTTCCCTGACCCCAGAGATCCTCTTGTGAGCTGGAACCTTCCCTGTCTTCCAGTCTCTATCTCTGCTCTGCCTCCTCCCCCAGGCAGGCTTGTCTTCCTCCCCTCCGACCAGGTCCAGCCAAACGCTATCTCTCTGATCATCCACAGCTGTTTCCTCCCCTCTCTTCACAACCCCGCTGTGACTTGGACAGGCTACCACCTCCCCCTGCTGCCCTTTTTCACTGGGGTTAAACAACACACATCCCTCGAATCTTTTCTCAGAGGCCCTCGGCCCCCCCTGGCCTGGGCTGTGTTCCCTTCTGGCCAACCCAGAGTCTTCCTTCCTCAGGGATATGGCCCTTGCTCTCCGCTCCCGGCGTCTCCTGCCCCTCACGCCTTCTGGGGACAGGCCACCACCGTTTCTGTGCTGTGGTGTCTATGAAACCAGTGAACCCCTTTCAGAGCAATGTCTTAAAATCTATAAAGTAAAATGCATAGGGTTTACTATACCATATCGATTCTATTGATAGCCAATTATCAAAGGTATTTTAAAACTCGAACTTATGAATTAGTAATATAGGAACTTCACTATTAGTCCATTAAATAGCAAGAACCTTGTGGCATGTTTAATAACCTATTTAGAAGCAGTGATGAGTGTAAAAGACTGTTTTGAAGTTTCTGCAGTAATTCTAAGCTGATGTGACAGCATCTGTGATTCCTGTTGGTGACAGTCACGAGCACCGCTAGTACCACCGTGTTGGTTTCCTATATGCATCATTGAAGGAAATGCTAGAGGCTGGTGAAAATAGAGATGTAACTGCTCCCTGTCTCAGTTCAATACCCCCTGGAGGCCCTCAGAGCCCAGGAGCCCTGCAAGGGGGGAGTTTTCCTGCCGGAGATCTCAGCCATGTTCTCTGTCTTCCTGGATCCTAGCTCCCGTCCCCCCAGCCCCAGTCACAGAGCCTCCCGTGGAGCCACGCCTGGGGGAGCTGACGGTGATGGATGTGACCCCGGACTCTGTGGGCCTCTCCTGGACTGTCCCCGAGGGTGGATTCGACTCCTTCTTGGTCCAGTACAAGGACAGGGACGGGCAGCCCCAGGTGGTGCCTGTGGCCGCCGACCAGCGTGAGGTCACTGTCCCCGGCCTGGAGTCCAGTAGGAAATACAAATTCCTGCTCTTTGGGATCCAAGATGGGAAACGCCGTGGCCCAGTCTCTGTGGAGGCAAAGACAGGTGAGAGGGACCCCCACGAAGCTGAGGTCCCAGCCCCGCTGTCCTTCTTCCCGCTGCCTGAACGCCTCTCCTTTCCACCTGGTCTCCCTTTCATCCACCTCTTCCTTTTTATTTGAAAAGCCCTGCTGCCTTCTCCCTTCCCAGTCAGATAGGAACCAAGAAAATGAAGTGGGTTCCTGGATCAGTTCCCCCGGCTGACTTTCACCTCTTCTCGTAATTCCTACTTCTGTTCAATGGGGGAGGCTCCTCCAGGACCCTTCCTGGAAGGTGGAAGCACGAGACACAGCAGGACTGGGAAGCAAGGGCGGGAGGCCAGAGCTGTTCCACATTCAAGTCTCAGCCGTGTGTAGCCATCACCTCCCGAGAGAGAGCTTCCACTGACCCTCACCCTTTTTCCCACCCTGCAGGCCCAGGCATGCTGGGTCCCGTATCTGCCTCTCCAGAGGGACCGCTTTCCTCCCCTGCCCTCTTCCTGGAGCCTCAGAAACGAGGACCAGAAGAGCCCAAGGCTGGCTGCCCAGTCTGGCCCAGTCAGGCCCAGCCCATCTATGCCCCTTTCCTGGATTTTGATCCAGGCCCTCCCCTGCCCCTGGGGGTTCCCAGTTGCCAGAGAACTCTCACAATAACAATGCCGTCAGCTTCCTTGCTGTCCAGAAAGGCAGAAGGCCAGCTCCTTCTCAGGCCCCGGGATGGCTTCTTGGGCAGACACCAGATCCTTCTCCTGTCTGAGCATCCTTCTTCTCCTTGTACCCCTCCTCACACAAAAGCAATCCCAACTCCTCCACCAGGTCCTATGAGGGTCACCGTCATCATAATATCCTACCTCCCCACCGGCTGTCTGCCCCCAGGGACCTGTACCCACTGATGTCCCCAGGACCCTTGGGTTTTCCCAGAGAACAGTCAAATCACAAGCAATGGATTCCTTGGTCAAAGAAAATAAGCAGATGAAGCCTGTGATAAGCTGCACCCTGCCAAGGAAATGGTCCCTATCAGATGGCTAGAGTCTGGATAACAAGTGTAATAAGATAAATAGGAAGCTAGGGAATCGCTTTTCCCAGGACAGGAGGCTGCTCCCTGCGCTGGTTAATGGACAGAGGCATGGCCAGATGAGGATGCTGGTGGGCATGTGATGGTGATGGAAATACCTGGGGGAAGCATTGATCATTTGGGCAGTTCTAGATTTTTCCAACTCCAGAGGGAGGCAGTCAAGGAGTCATTTTGGAAAAAAAAAATAAACACAAGAAACTTTCCTCTCTGTCAGTTGGCCGAGGTGACGCCAGCCCAGGAGCCCCACCCCGCCTCGGGGAGCTGTGGGTGACAGACCCCACCCCAGACTCACTGCACCTCTCCTGGACGGTCCCCGAGGGCCACTTCGACTCCTTTGTGGTCCAGTTCAAGGACAGGGATGGGCCCCGCCTGGTGTCCGTGGAGGGCCATGAGCGCTCAGTCACCATCAGCCCTCTGGACTCCGGCCGCAAGTACAGATTCCTTGTCTACGGCCTCCTGGGCAAGAGGCGCCATGGCCCCCTCACCGCCGAGGGCACCACAGGTGAGGGCAGCCCCTGCAGGGGGTGTCCCTGGTCTGGAGGGGCCCTTGGGGAAGGTTGCTCTGGTCACTTGCGGTGGCTGTCATCATGGTTGTTGTTTGGGTCTGGTTGTCTGTCTGGAATCCAGCCCATCTCCTTGCACAAGCCCGAAGACCCAGTCCTGCAGGGCGCAGCCGCAGCTCAGTCCCATCTTTAGACCTCTCAGTCCTTCCCTTCAGGGTCACCCAGCCTTCCAGAAACAACCATTTCCTCTCTGTGTTTCCATCTCAGAGACCCGCAGAGCAGTGGACGAGGCTGGAACAAAGCGTCCCTCCAAACCACGTCTGGGGGAAGAGCTGCAGGTGACCGGTGTGACATCAGACTCCGTGGGCCTCTCGTGGATGGTTCCTGAGGGCCACTTCGACTCCTTTGTGATCCAGTACAGGGACAGAGACGGGCAACCCCAGGTGGTGCCCGTGGAGGGCAGCCGCAGGGAGGTCAGTGTCTCGGGCCTGGACCCTGCCCGCAGGTACAAGCTGCTGCTCTACGGGTTGTCCAGGGACAAGCGAATGGGTCCCATCTCTGCCATCGCTGTGACCGGTGAGTGCAGCCAGGGGAATTCGCTGTCCCTCCTTCCCACCTGGCTCTCCTGGTCTGATGGAGTCAGGATTTCTGAGCTTCCTGTACCCCTTCTTTTGGGGGAAGAGGTCAGCTTCATATAGGCATAATTTACATACAATAAAATTCACCCACTTTAAGAGCATAATTCAGTGAGTTTGGGAAGATGTCTAATTCATGACCATTACTCAGCAAAGATAGAAAACAATGACTCTAGACGTTTCCCCATGCTCCTTGACTGTCAGTTTCCCTGATCCCAGCTTCTGGCAACCACTAATTGCTTTCTGTCATTATAGTTTTGCCTTTTTAAGTGTTTTGTTTAACAGACTCATACAGTACATAGTTTTTTGTGTGTTTTTCCTGCACTTAGCATGATGCTTTTGAAGTTCATCCCTGGGTATCAGTAGTTGGTCCTTTTTATTACTGATCTCTTGTCCTCACCTCCTTCCCTCCATCCATCCTCTTGGAGAGTCTTGGTGCAGCGACAGACCACTCACCCCTCTCTACCTGTCTCTCAGAACCAGCCCCCAGGGAAGAACTCGAAGCTGAGCCTGAAACCTTCAGTCATGCATCATCTGAGCCCCATCTGGGGGAGGTGACTCTGGAGGAGGCCACCCCACACAGCCTGCATCTCTCGTGGACAGCAACTGAGGGAGAATTTGACTCCTTCGAGGTCCAATACACAGATGAGGATGGGCAACGCCAAGAAGTTAATGTAGGGGGCGACCAGCATGACATCACCATCTCTGACCTGGAATCCGACCACAGATACCTGGTGAGCCTGTACGGTTTCCACGACGGGCAACGTGTTGGTCCTGCCCACATCGAGGCCATGACAGGTGAGCAAAAGAACTCTGCCCACTCAGCTTCCTTCCAGGGGGCCATGAGGGCGCAGAGGAGGGCCGAGTCCCCGCGGACCCTGTGCCCCGCTCTCAGGTCCTTTTCTCTCCATGTCTGTGTTCAGCCCCAAGAGAGGAGGATGATGAACCTTCAGAATCTCCCTCTACCCCCCAAACCCCGTCCACCGTGGCCCCCGAGCCTCCCATCAAGCCCCGCCTGGGGGAGCTGGAGGTGACAGATGCCACGCCTGACTCCCTGAGCCTCTCCTGGACCATCCCCGAGGGCCAGTTCGACCACTTCCTGATCCAGTACAAGAACGGGGATGGGCAGCCCAAGGTGGTGAGGGTCCCTGGGGACGAGGACGAGGTCACCATCTCGGGCCTGGAGCCAGACCACAAGTACAAGATGAACCTGTATGGCTTCCATGACCGCCAGCGTGTGGGCCCCATCTCTGTCATCGGGGTGACCAGTGAGTGAACGGTGGAAGCCCCAGGATGGGACCTAGTGGAGAGATCACCCCCTCAGGTGATGGGAGCGTGGGGTGCAGGAGGCCCCCCTCCTCGAGTCTGAGCCATGGTTACCTTTGTGTGTCCTCCTGGGCAGAGAAGGGCCTCTGTGAGCCAAGCTGGTGGTGGCCCTAGTCCCCACAGCTGGCCCCGGGGGCTCTAGGCATGTCTGTGAGGTGTGGACCAAGCAGGACCACCCAGCCCCAAGGATAGGCTTCTGTGAACTGACTTCAGGGCCTGGAGTCAAAGCCAAAGCTTGGGAGGAGACCCAAGGACATCTCCTGGGGACCCTGCCTCACCCTCTGTGTGTCCCTTCTTCTCAGCTGCAGAGGAAGAGACCCCCAGCCCCACAGAGATGGAGGAGACCCCCAGCCCCACGGAACCCAGCACAGAGGCCCCGGAGCCCCCCGAGGAGCCCCTCCTAGGGGAGCTGACAGTGACAGGATCCTCCCCAGACTCGCTGAGCCTCTCCTGGACCGTCCCCCAGGGCCACTTCGACTCTTTCACCGTCCAGTACAAGAATGGGGACGGGCAGCCCAAGGCGGTGAGGGTGCCCGGGGATGAGGACGAGGTCACCGTCTCAGGCCTGGAGCCAGACCACAAGTACAAGATGAACCTGTACGGCTTCCACGACCGCCAGCGTGTGGGCCCCGTCTCTGTCATCGGGGTGACCAGTGAGTGGACGGTGGAAGCCTCAGGGTGGGACCTAGTGGGAGATCACCCCCTCAGGTGATGGGGAGTGGGGTGCGGGAGGCCCCTCTCCTCCAGGCTGAGCCATGATGCCCTATGTGCCTCCCCTGGGCTCCCTGAGGACTAGAGGGTCCTCCTGGGCAGAGAAGGGCCTCTGTGAGCCATGCTGGTGGTGGTCGTGGTTCCCACAGCTGACACCGGGGGCTCCAGGCATGTCTGTGAGGTGTGGACTGAGCAGGACCACCAGCCTCCTTAGGCTCCTCTGAACTGACCTCAGGGTCTCCAGTGGGGACCATGGCTCAGGAGGAGACCCAAGGACGTCTCCCAGGGACCCTGCCTCACCCTCTGTGTGTTCCTCCTTCTCAGCTTCAGAGGAAGAGACCCCCAGCCCCACAGAGATGGAGGAGACCCCCAGCCCCACAGAGATGGAGGAGACCCCCAGCCCCACAGAACCCAGCACAGAGGCTCCGGAGCCCCCCGAGGAGCCCCTCCTAGGGGAGCTGACAGTGACAGGATCCTCCCCAGACTCGCTGAGCCTCTCCTGGACCGTCCCCCAGGGCCACTTCGACTCCTTCACCGTCCAGTACAAGGGCAGGGACGGGCCCCAGGTGGTGCGTGTCGGGGGCGAGGAGACCGAGGTGACCGTTGGGGGCCTGGAGCCCGGACGCAAGTACAAGATGAACCTGTACGGCCTGCACAGGGGGCAGCGCATGGGCCCCGTGTCCACCGTGGGCGTGACCGGTGAGTGAGAGCGGGGCTTGGGATGAGGTTTCAGGAAAGGTCTCATTGTAGAGCCTCTCGAGTGTCTTCCACTGAAGACCCTAAAACCCCCAAATCTCTACTTCATTCATTATCCATTCAGCACTTCAGGACAAGTGTGATCTAGGAGCAGGAAGAGGGAGTCCCAGGGAAATGCTTGCCCTTGAGAGGCCGTTGGGGACTGAGGCCTCCAAGCCAGTCATACATGACCTGTCTGTGGCTCTCTGCTTTGCGTAGAAACTCTGAAAAGAACACTTTTGGGGTGTTGGGACAAATGCAATGAAATATTAAATCTCAACAAGTATTTATTATATAAAATTTCAGACATATATCCAAAGGGAAAGAATAGCATAATGAATTCCTATGTGTCAATCACCCTGCTTCAACCAAAAGCACGTCTTGGACAGTCTAGCTCATCCAGACCCCACTCACCTCCCACCATCCTCAACTCGAATATCATCTTTCTTCTTCTTTTTTTTTTAATGTATTTTATTCTTGGCAGTGATGGGTCTTCATTGCTACATACAGGTTTTGTCTAGTTGTGGCGAGCGGGGGCTACTCTATGTTGTGGTATACAGACTTCTCATTGCAGCGGCTTCTCTTGTTGCAGAGCTCAGGCTCTAGGTGCTGGGGGGTTCAGCAGTTACCACTGGAGGGCTCTAGAGCACAGGCTCAGTAACTGTGGCACAAGGAGTTGCTCTGCGGCATGTGGGATCTTCCTGGAGCAGGGATCAAACCCATGTCCCCTGTGTTGGCAGGCAGATTCTTAACCACTAGGAAGTCCTAGAATGTTTTCTTTATTAACAGCTTTATTGAGGTATACCTTACATACCATAAAATTCACCTGTTTTAAGCATACAGCTTATCAATCTTAGTGTATTCACAGAACTGTACAACCATCATCACTATCTATTAATAATTTTAGAACTTTTCCACCATATTGAGATGAAATCTGGTGTCCAGACCCATTTTCATGCCCATTTCCGATCCCCACAAATCTACTTTCTGTCTCTGTAGATTTGCCTTTTCTGGACACATCATATAACTGGGATCATGCAATACCTGCTTCTTTCATGTCTGACTTCTTTTACCACATTTTAGCACGTTTTTGAGGTTGATCTGTGTTGTAGCATGTAGCAGTACTTCATTCCTTTATAGTCAAATAACATTCCATTGTATGGATACACTGCTGTAATATTTTAAAATGTATTCTATACGTTCTTTACTTCATCATTACATATTTAAGTGTACTGCTCTTTTCAAAAAGACCATTTAAAAGTAACCATGACACAGTGATTGTGCCTTTAAAAACCAGATATTCGGGTATTACAAGTTTCCTGATTCCCTGGTGGCTCAGACGGTAAAGAATCTGCCAGCAATGCGTAAGACCTAGGTTCGATCCCTGGGTTAGGAAGATCCCCTGGAGGAGGGCATGGCAACCTACTCCAGTATTGTTGCCTGGAGAATCCACATGGACAGAGGAGCATGGCAGACTACATTACAGTCCATGGGGTCACAAAGAGTTGGACATGACTGAGCGACTAAGCACACAGCCTCCTGATAGTGTCCTAATTGTTCTTTTGCAATTTTTTGTTGGAATCAGATCCAATTAAAAAAGATAGGCTGCAATTGGGAGAACTGGGATTTTAAATAGGGTAGGCAGGAAAGGCCCTAAAGAGAAGTTGACATTTGAATGAAGACTTAAAGGAAGTGTGAACATGAGCCATGCTGACATCTGGGGAAAGAACATTCAGGCATCGAGGCGAGAGGCCACTTGGCACATTGGATGGACCATAAGGAGGCCACAAAGAGATTGTGATGGCATAGGCACAGCTGGGTCTGAAGTTAGGCCCCCAGAGCTGGCCCACCTTCTGGCCTGAACCCAGGAGAGCAGGGCCTCAGCAGTTCCTTCCTGCAGCAGGAACAATTCTGTTTGCCTCTCTCCCCAGCCCCGGAAGAGGAGCCCCCTGCTAGCCCTCCTTTGAAGCCACAGCTGGGGGAGCTGACTGTGACAGATGCCACTCCCGACTCGCTGAGCCTCTCCTGGAGTGTCCCTGAGGGCCAGTTTGACCACTTCCTAGTCCAATACAAGAACGGGGACGGGCAGCCCAAGGCGGTAAGGGTGTCCGGGGACGAGGATCGGGTCACCATCTCGGGCCTGGAGCCAGACCACAAGTACAAGATGAACCTGTACGGCTTCCACGACCACCAGCGCGTGGGCCCCATCTCCACTGTCGGTTTAACTGGTGAGTGTGCAGCAGGACACTGACCCCGAGCTGGGCTCAGTTTCCCTTTAATTGCCAGTACTCATGTTTTTCTCCCACTGTTCTTGAGCCTGAGCCTCCCAAGCTCCTGGGAGTGGTTCTGTGCCTGTCTTCACTCCAAGCCTTAGTGTCACTTTAGCTGTCTCACCCTTTACACTTTTTGAGTCCTTGAAGAGGGAGGATGCCAAGGAAATAATAGACTCAGGCAGACCTGGGGCTGGCCTTATTCTCGGCCCCTTAGAGCTGTGTGACCTCGAGAGAGTCACTCAACCTCTCTGTGCCTCCCTTTCGGCATCCGTGCAGAAAGAATAGCCATACCTGTCTGGCAGGGTGGGTGTGGCTTGGCTCACCCACAGTGTTTGGTAACTACTGGCGGCTCCTTTTGAGGAAGAAAATTAGTTACTGAAAACCCTTGGGTGAATTCTCATAATTATTATTGATTTCACTGGGTAAAATTGTATTTGATACTGATAGCCATGGATTCTATGTCAACATGGAACCCTGCTATCATGGATACTGTTACTTCAGTAGTTAACATTAATCATGGTGGTTTAGTTGCTAAGTCGTGTCTGACTCTTGCGATCCCATGGACTGGAGCCCACCAGGCTCCTCTGTCCATGGGATTCTCCAGGTGGGAATACGGGAATGGGTTGCCATTTCCTTCTCCAGAGGAAGATTCCTGACCTAGGAATCGAACCCGGTTCTCCTGCATTGCAGGCAGATTCTTTACTGACTGAACTATGAGGGAAGCCCTAATATTAGTCATATGTGCAGCTAAACAAGATATTTTCTCTTCATTAAATACTCCTCATCTTGGCTGTTGGTTGCTTTTGTTAAGTTCCTTTATAGCTATTACCTGCGACATGCTTAAAACCTGGTTCCCAAACACAATGGAGATATGAAACACGATGATTTTATAATTCAGCTATTAAGCCAGAATAAAATTCTATGCAGAACAGGAAAGACAAAAGAAATCTGTGAGTGTGATGGGTCTTCCCTGCCATAAACTGGCAAGAGAATTAATACAAGGTCCCCAAGCAACCCAACTGCAAAGATGATCTGATTTCCTGTGGTCTCATCTCTGCTGTCAACTGTGGAATCTAAATTAGATTCTCAAATGCTCAGAAAGGCCTTCTAAACCAGAGGAGGTATTAAAGGAAAATACTTAGGAACCTGAGCACAGGCACCTCCTGACGCGACGTGACTGTTAGACATGGTGCTGTTACAAAGCATGAGTCCTGGCCCACTAAGTGAATTCGCTCAGCAGCTCCTGCAGTTTCCATGCTGCACATGCTGAGGTCAGCAGTATCCCACCGTACCATCTTGACATCTCCACAGTGTGTGCCCTGCCCCTGGAAGCTGAACATTTAAACGAGGGAAATGAAGTCTTAAGCCTGGGGCACTGGCATCCCAGCTTCAGGGCCCTGGGAGTATATCTGGGAGAAATCTCAGAATCCATGCAGTTAGGGAGGAGCTCAGGAAACATGTCACCATCCTCTTTGTCTCCTGATCCAGCCTCAGAAAAAGACCAAGAAATGACCCCAGCCCCAACAGACCTGCCCATTGCAGCTCCTGAGCCTCCCATCAAGCCCCGCCTGGGGGAACTGGCAGTGACAGATGCCACCCCCGACTCCCTGAGCCTCTCCTGGACCGTCCCTGAGGGCCAGTTCGATCACTTCTTGATCCAGTACAAGAATGGGGATGGGCAGCCCAAGGCGGTGAGGGTGCCTGGGGACGAGGACGAGGTCACCATCTCGGGCCTGGAGCCAGACCACAAGTACAAGATGAACCTGTATGGCTTCCATGACCGCCAGCGTGTGGGCCCCGTCTCTGTCATCGGGGTGACCAGTGAGTAGACGGTGGAAGCCCCAGGAAGGGACCTGGTGGGGAGATCACCCCCTCAGGTGATGGGGGAGTGGGGTGTGGGAGGTCCCTCTCCTCAAGTCTGAGCCATGGTTACCTTTGTGTGTCCTCCTGGGCAGAGAAGGGCCTCTGTGAGCCAAGCTGGTGGCGGCCCTAGTCCCCACAGCTGGCCCTGGGGGCTCTAGGCATGTCTGTGAGGTGTGGACCAAGCAGGACCACCCAGCCCCAAGGACCAGTTCCTCCGAACTGACTTCAGGGCCTGGAGTCAAAGCCAAAGCTTGGGAGGAGACCCAAGGACGTCTCCCAGGGACCCTGCCTCACCCTCTGTGTGTCCCTTCTTCTCAGCTGCAGAGGAAGAGACCCCCAGCCCCACAGAGATGGAGGAGACCCCAAGCCCCACAGAGATGGAAGAGACCCCCAGCCCCACGGAACCCAGCACAGAGGCCCCGGAGCCCCCCGAGGAGCCCCTCCTAGGGGAGCTGACAGTGACAGGATCCTCCCCAGACTGGCTGAGCCTCTCCTGGACCGTCCCCAAGGGCCACTTCGACTCCTTCACCGTCCAGTACAAGAACGGGGACGGGCAGCCTCAGGTGGTGAGGGTGCCAGGGCATGACAGTGGGGTCACCATCTCGGGCCTGGAGCCAGACCACAAGTACAAGATGAACCTGTACGGCTTCCATGACCGCCAGCGTGTGGGCCCCGTCTCTGTCATCGGGGTGACCAGTGAGTGGATGGTGGAAGCCTCAGGGTGGGACCTAGTGGGAGATCACCCCCTCAGGTGATGGGGAGTGGGGTGTGGGAGGCCCCTCTCCTCCAGGCTGAGCCATGATGCCCTATGTGCCTCCCCTGGGCTCCCTGAGGACTAGAGGGTCCTCCTGGGCAGAGAAGGGCCTCTGTGAGCCATGCTGGTGGTGGTCGTGGTTCCCACAGCTGACACCGGGGGCTCCAGGCATGTCTGTGAGGTGTGGACTGAGGACCACCAGCCTCCTTAGGCTCCTCTGAACTGACGTCAGGGTCCCCAGTGGGGACCATGGGTCTGGAGGAGACCCAAGGACATCTCCCAGGGACCCTGCCTCACCCTCTGTGTGTTCCTCCTTCTCAGCTTCAGAGGAAGAGACCCCCAGCCCCACAGAGATGGAGGAGACCCCCAGCCCCACGGAACCCAGCACAGAGGCCCCAGAGCCCCCCGAGGAGCCCCTCCTGGGGGAGCTGACAGTGACAGGATCCTCCCCAGACTCGCTGAGCCTCTCCTGGACCGTCCCCCAGGGCCACTTCGACTCCTTCACCGTCCAGTACAAGGGCAGGGACGGGCCCCAGGTGGCACGTGTCGGGGGCGAGGAGACTGAGGTGACCGTTGGGGGCCTGGAGCCGGGACGCAAGTACAAGATGAACCTGTATGGCCTGCATGGGGGGCGGCGCGTGGGCCCCGTGTCCACTGTGGGCGTGACCGGTGAGTGAGGGTGGGGCACAGGTCTCCGGGGTGGAAATACCTTTTCCTCATGGGTGACCTGGTTGACTGTTCTGTTATTTCACCAGACCTTGAACCCCTTTTATGACCTTCCTCCATGGCCCTGGGCCGTGACCCGAGTGTAGTGGTCTGGCCTTTGTCCACCCACAGCCTCATTGTCCACAGTAGTAGCATGACCTCTGATGATCAGTCACTGCCTGCCTCGAAGGGTGATATATGTCAGGCTCAGACCAAGCTTGACTTTGATAGAATTTTCTTTTCTTTCCATCTTAATCACAAATCACAGCATTCTTTTTCATAACAAGAAAAAAAATGAAAGAAACAACCCAACATCCAATCACACTGAGATGATTAAGTAATTAGACAACAGTCTGTGAAATGACCTATTATGGCATCATTGAAATGTTTAAACATAAGACAATTATTTTATACTTTACAATGAAATAAGAGTTTACAATGTTTGTAAGGAAGCTAATCAAAACCACTTGAAAATAACTTGCATAGTAAGACAACTGGAAGGAAACACATCCCACGGGATGCATGATTTGTGGGACACAATAGAATATTTTGTACTTATTTTTTCCCACTTTGTTCTGTTCTGTATCATTTACATTTTCTTAAGTGACAAGCAGTTTTTCTTTTATAATCAGGAAAATTTTTTTCAATACATCGTCTCCTCTTTTGTATCCCTTCCATCTTTTCCGCTTATCATTCTTGCAATTTATTTCATTAATGATTATGAAAAACTTACAATTTCTCGTCTCTAAGAAATGAGGGAAAAAAATCCCCAAGGTGAATTAAATTCCCCACTTGTAGTCAGGGTGGCTTTTCTAAGTCACTGTCAGTTGTGACAGTATGTCACCAGGGTCCCTCTGCACGTGGGAGAACCCAGCTCCTGAGAGCCAATCTTTTTGGGGGTGAGGCAACTGTCTGTGTGAGGTTCACTCTTCCCTCCTGAAGACACTTCGGACTGAGAGCCCCCTCTCATGCAAATCACAAGCATGTGCAAAAAGCACAGAGCGACCCATGTCCCTACTCCACATCCACCGCCGGACTACTAATTCTTACAATCCAGGGTTTCTTTTTAAGTCTGTATTTTTCTCTGAAAAGCATATAGCAACATGATGGAAAGTTTGGAAAGCAGGGGAAAAAAATCTCTCATCGGACCACTTTCTGACCCAAGAACCACCATTCATAACAATGTGTGTAACACCCTCTCTTTCTGTGTTTTCCATGCCCGCATGTTTTCAGGTTGCAGAGGGTTCATGTAATTCTTGGCTCTTAACATTTTTTGCACCTAAGTTACACTGAGAGCATTTATCCTGTGGCTACACAACCGTCATTAATTATCATTTTAATGGCCATTTGATGCTTCATGGTGAAAGTGCCATAACAGAATTAATCTTCTTCTGTGGTTCCTTTGGAGTCCTGACACATCTTGCTGTCATGAATAATCCCAAAATGAACTCCGGTGATACAACTTTTCCTGCTTTTTAATAATTTTCTTAGGAGAGCTGCCCAGAAATGAGATTATTGGTTCAAAGGAAATGAGCAGTATTTTGGCTCCCAACATGCATGTCCGAATTGCCTTCTGAAGGTTCATGGTGCCCGCCAGCCACTATGTGACGGGGTCGGGCGTGTCTCGGTCTCCCCTGCGTGGAGTCACCGAATGCTGCACCCAGAGGTTACATGAGCCTCCAGGCCTGCAGCTTGAGGGGTGTTTCGCTGGATGCCCTCGGTTGTCTCTGCTGATATCAGCAGACATCAAAGCAAGTCGCCATCTAAGCCTCTGCCCCCAATCTCTTTTCTCAGACCCTCAGGAGGTTGTGGAAGAGACCCCCAGCCCCATGGAGCCCAGCACAGAGGCCCCAGAACCCCCCGAGGAGCCCCTCCTGGGGGAGCTGACAGTGACAGGATCCTCCCCGGACTCGCTGAGCCTCTCCTGGACCGTCCCCCAGGGCCACTTCGACTCCTTCACCGTCCAGTACAAGGGTAGGGACGGGCCCCAGGTGGTGCGTGTCGGGGGCAAGGAGACCGAGGTGACCGTTGGGGGCCTGGAGCCCGGACACAAGTACAAGATGAACCTGTACGGCCTGCACAGGGGGCGGCGTGTGGGCCCCGTGTCCACCGTGAGCGTGACCGGTGAGTGAGTGCGGGGTGTGACCGATGCATGAGGTGGGAAGCGTGGGGTGCAGGATGGGGAGGACGGGTCCTGGAAGAGTTTCTCTTTATTCCCATCTTAATGAAAACATAAATATTCTCAGCAGCACATCTTTTCCAGAACGTCAGATGGTCCGGGATTCTTGTTAAAAGGCAGATTCAGGTTTAGCAGGTTTGGGCTGGGGCTGGACACGCTGGATTTCTAAAGTCCTTCCTGATGCTGATGCTGCTGGTCCAGGGACCACACTCGGCTAAAACTCCTCACAAAGCAACTGGACACTTCCTTAGATTCTACAGACAGAATCGTGCTTGCATGCCTGAGGTCCTCATAGGAGCTTAGCCGAGCTCGGCCTCTCCGTAGTTGACTGGAGGCTGTGGAGGAAGGCAGGAGTGTGCTCAGAGTTTAGTGTCTGGACTGAAACGCCCCCTAGCCTCACGGTTTGGGTGTTAACAGACTTGTGACACCAGTGGTTCAAGAAAGATTTGGGTGGCCTGAGCCAAGCACTGAGGAAGTTCACTGAGATAAACCTTGAACGTGGCAGAGAAACCAGTTCTTATCCCACGGGGCTCACAGACAGGCTGTGGACCAGCAAAGGGGGATGTGTAGGTGACGGGAAGCCCCACGGCCAGGCCAAAACTGGGCAGTGAGGCCAACACCAGCCTGCCTGCCCACGGGTGTCCACAGGTTCCCACGGGACAGCTGAGACTTGACGACCGGCAGGCATTATCTTGGTAACACTCACAGACAGGATGAGGGGTCTCAGTCGGTACTAGGAACATCATGGCACAAGAAAGGATTTTGTATGAAATTCTTGGGGTGGGAGAGATAGTCTTGAGATGGGGATAGAGAGGTTGGGACTGGGAATTTCTCTCCCAGAATAGAGACGACTGCTGCCCAGTTTTATGCTGAGACTGAGACCCTCGGATGTGCTTTTAAAGGCTCGTTCTGTCTCCCTGTGAAGAACAGGTGGAGGAGGGAGGCAGAGACTCATAGGGAGGTGGTAACCCAGGTGACAGGTAAGGGCGTCCCAGACAAGGGTGGCAGGGCTGCAGGTGTGGGGAGTGAGAAGATGCAGGAGGAACTCCAGAGAGAGAATTGGACTCTCTGAGTCTTACAGCAGCTGGTGCATGCGTGCTAAGTCGCTTCAGTCATGACTGACTCTGTGACCCCATGGATTGTAGCCAGGCTTTTCTGTCCATGGGATTCTCCAAGCAAGAATATGGGGGAGGGTTGCCATACCCCCTCCAGGGGATCTTCCTGACCCAGGGATTGAACCCACATCTCTTAGTCTCCTGCTTTGGCAGATGGGTTCTTTCCCACTAGCACCACCCAGGAGGACAGCAGATGGCAACAGGAATGGATCCAAGAAGACTCTGGGTTTCTGATTAGAGAAGGGGGATGGGGCTTCTTCTGAGATGCTTGGGGGCCAAGACATGAGCCAAAAGGAGTTCAGATGCCGTGAGACCGCAGTGGAGGGAGGCCCAGAGCACAGTGGCCATGTGGGCCCGTGTGTGAGGAAGGGTGCTGGTAGGTAGGGGTGAGAGCAGGGTGGATGAGGCTAAGGTGCCAGGAAGGCCAACATTCAAGGGACCAGAAAGAAAGAGTTAAGAGAAAGAGGAGTTAGAGCTCCTGTGGACAGACATGTCCTGTACCTTATTATTTTATTTTTGTAATACATCCCTTTGTACGCTGAACTGAGGACTGAGGAGACCTCACCTATCCTGTATGTCTCTGTGCAGCTCTGGACTACGACTCCATGACCACCCAAACCCCGTCCACCGCGGTCCCCAAGCCTCCCACCAAGCCCCACCTGGGGGAGCTGACTGTGACAGATGCCACCCCCGACTCCCTGAGCCTCTCCTGGACCATCCCCGAGGGCCAGTTCGACCACTTCCTGATCCAGTACAAGAATGGGGACGGGCAGCCCAAGGCGGTGAGGGTGCCCGGGGACGAGGACGAGGTCACCGTCTCGGGCTTGGAGCCAGACCACAAGTACAAGATGAACCTGTATGGCTTCCACGACCGCCAGCGTGTGGGCCCTGTCTCTGTCATCGGGGTGACCAGTGAGTGGATGGTGGAAGCCTCAGGGTGGGACCTAGTGGGAGATCACCCCCTCAGGTGATGGGGAGTGGGGTGCGGGAGGCCCCTCTCCTCCAGGCTGAGCCATGATGCCCTATGTGCCTCCCCTGGGCTCCCTGAGGACTAGAGGGTCCTCCTGGGCAGAGAAGGGCCTCTGTGAGCCATGCTGGTGGCGGCCCAGGTCCCCACAGCTGACCCCAGAGACTCCAGGCATGTCTGTGAGGTGTGGACTGAGCAGGACCACCAGCCTCCTTAGGCTCCTCTGAACTGACCTCAGGGTCTCCAGTGGGGACCATGGGTCTGGAGGAGACCCAAGGACATCTCCCAGGGACCCTGCCTCACCCTCTGTGTGTTCCTCCTTCTCAGCTGCAGAGGAAGAGACCCCCAGCCCCACAGAGATGGAGGAGACCCCCAGCCCCACGGAACCCAGCACAGAGGCTCCGGAGCCCCCCGAGGAGCCCCTCCTAGGGGAGCTGACAGTGACAGGATCCTCCCCGGACTCGCTGATCCTCTCCTGGACCGTCCCCCAGGGCCACTTCGACTCCTTCACCGTCCAGTACAAGGGCAGGGACGGGCCCCAGGTGGTGCGTGTTGGGGGCGAGGAGACCGAGGTGACCATTGGGGGCCTGGAGCCCAGACACAAGTACAAGATGAACCTGTACGGCCTGCATGGGGGGCGGCGCGTGGGCCCCATGTCCACCGTGGGCGTGACTGGTGAGTAGTAGAATAAGCCCTGAGCCGTAGGTTTCTCTCTGTTGCCCTCTTGTTTCCCTCTTTGGGATATCAGCACTTCTCACAAATGGAGCCTATTCTCTTTCCTCACGTGGTGCTGAGGATCCCACCCCATGCTCAAAGTGCATGAGAACTGACGGACGGTGTGCTCAGGGTCAGCTCGGCAGGTAGCCTCTGCCCCATACGTTTCAGCTTTCTTCCTTCCTTCATGATCTGGACCCTCAGACTTGCTCAGATGTTCATGTGTGACTTCCTCAGCCTCCCTGACCGAGCATTTTAGCAGCTTGGAGCACAGATGGAGAACCAGGTTCTCTAGGTTGAATCCTGCTCTGAAGGTACTCATTTTGCAAATGTTTCTTAACCTCTCTGCACCATGGATGCCCACGCAACAAAGGTGCTAAGGATAAAAGCACCTACTTCAGCGGCTGTGTGAAGATTAAATGCACTATTTGCAAACTGCCTATAGCAGTGCCTGGGACACATGTAGCAGTTTGCTGCAAATGATCATTTCACAGCCAGGGAGCAGCCCCCCCACTCTGGCCCAGGGTCCTGTCATTGACCACAGCCTTCTCTGCTCTGTTCCAGCCTCCCTGACTACAGAGCCCCCCCTGGCACCCCGCCTGGGGGAGCTGGCGGTGGCAGCCGTGACCTCGGACACAGCGCGCCTCTCATGGACGGTGGAGCAGGGGCCCTTCGATTCCTTCCTGGTCCAGTACAAGGATGTGCAGGGGCAGCCCCAGACAGTGCCTGTGGGTGGAGAGCTCCAAGAGGTCACAGTTTCAAGTCTGGCCCCCGGCCGCAAGTACAAGTTCCTGCTGTTCGGACTCCGGGATGAGAAACGACATGGCCCAGTCTCTGCAGATGCAAAGACTCGTGAGTGAGGGCTGGAGGCCGCCTTTGCCACCTGACCATCATCCACTCCCTTGTGGAATTTCATGTTTCCATGCTCCACACCCCAGACCCCAGTTTATTTACCGGGTTCAGTGAAATCCAAGTCCTGAGTACCTGGTTACCCTCTCGTTCCTATCCTACTCCTCCAATATCCCCAGGAACACTTGTTCTCTTCCCTGGCCCCTCTTTAATCCCTACTCCTCTGCCTCCCCTCCTCCTGACCTGTGACCTTGTCACCCCCTCCCAGCACCCAGAGCCAGTACCTAGACCCTAGCACCCTGAGGAGGCTGCCTGTTTCATTTCTGTCACATTCCATGCACCTCTCTCTTGTCCAGTCCCAGACACAAAACCTGCTCCCCGCCTGGGGGAGCTGACGGTGACGGATGTGACCCCGGACTCTGTGGGCCTCTCCTGGACCGTCCCTGAGGGTGGATTCGACTCCTTCGTGGTCCAGTACAAGGACAGGGATGGGCAGCCCCGCGTCGTGCCTGTGGCCACCGACCAGCGTGAGGTCACCATCCCCGGCCTGGAGCCCAATAGGAAATACAAGTTCCTGCTCTATGGGCTGGTAGGCAGGAAACGACTAGGCCCCATCTCCGCTGAAGGCAGCACAGGTGAGCCCCGGGTCCCCCCGCCCACAGCCTTTTCCAGAGCTGTCTTTCATCTGAGCCCCCAGAGCTGGCCCCGGGGATTTCGACATGGCAATCATAACACCAAAAGCAAATATTTATTGAGTCCCTACTGAATGCCAGGCACTGTTCTAAACATTTATTTCCTTCAATCTCTTATTGGCAATATAATAAAAAGAACTCAGACTTTGGAGCCAAGCAGACCTGTGTTCAACTTCTGACTGCCAGCTAGGTGGGCTTGGACAGGCCACTTCTTTCCCTTGAGCCTCAGTTTCCAGACCTGCATTATGGTTATGAATAATACCTAATGGGGCTCAATAAATGTTCACATCCTCCTCCCTCCATTCCAGTTCTATGGCAAGAAGTGGAAAATATGGGAGGGTTTGGCTGCAGAAAGACCATGGAAAAATCTGGTGTCTTGTGACCATGACTCAGCCCCTTGAGGAAGGGGTGGAGGTGGGTCACTGACCCTTACCCCACCTCTAGGACCATGAGTCACCCTGGCCAGACAAGGATGGGGCACATGGCCAGCTGAGGACTGGGGGGTCTCAGACTCCATAATTATCTTCCCCAAACCCTCACTGTGGAGACTGGATACAGGCTTCTCCAACCCTCATCAGTCAGCACCCACGCCCACCTAGACAAGTCCCTTTTGTGCTCTGCTCTGCCCGTCATCCTCTCAGCTCTGCCCCTGGCTTCTCCCCCTGCCCCACCGAGCCACCTTGGTCTAGTGGAGTTAGTGCTGACTGGAAGCAGGTGGCAAGGAGAGCCCAGGCTGATGGCAAGGCAGGGGGAGGTCATGGCCAGCGATGGGAGCCCAGGAGCTTGGCTGGCTGCCCGGGCCAGCTCTGACTGTTTGGGGATGTCTCCCTGACAACCCAGACATCCTCTGGGCACCTTTCTCAGCTCTGGCCACATTCCAGGCTCTTGGGGTCAGGGGTCAGGGGAAACTAAGGCCCTTCCTGCAACCCCAGCCTGCCCTCTCTCATGAGGAGATCTTTCCCACATTTACTGCGCCCTCATCACAGAGAGGAGGCAGTGGGGGCCAGAAGTTTGGGCAGTGGCCCCCCAGAGGCAAAAACTGGGCTCCTTTGGAAGGGCAGGGCTGGGACAGCCTGTCTCCCCAGGTCGGGGGAGGACCCTCCCTCCTCCCAGAAGTTGCCAGGGCTGAGATAAAGGCAGCTCTTAATTAAGGGTTTCTCCCCAACCCCCACTCTCCCCACAGCCCCCCTGGAGAAGGAACGGCAGCCCCTACCCCGCCTGGGGGAGCTGACAGTGACGGATGAGACCCCAAACTCCCTGCACCTCTCATGGACGGTGGCCCAGGGCCCCTTTGACTCCTTCGTGGTCCAGTACAGGGGCACAGACGGGCAGCCCCAGATGGTGCCTGTGGCTGCAGACCAGAGGGAGGTCACCCTAGAGGGCCTGGAGCCTGGCAGGAAATACAAGTTTCTGCTCTACGGGCTCCTTAGAGGACAGCGCCTGGGCCCCGCCTCTGTCCTGGGAATGACAGGTGAGCAGGAGGCCATGCTGCTTGGTCCCTGCAAACCGGCCTGAATGCATGTCCTCAGGCCTTTTGTCAAGCAGGCGTGGTCAAGGTGAAGGCGCAAGGGGGCCCTGCCCAGGGCTCAGAAGGAAGAGCCTCAGAACAGTGATAGAGGGGTCCGTCAAAAGCAGAGCCAAAACAAGCAGAAAGACAAAGCCCTGGCAAGGGTCCCTAACCTCCCGCCTCCCCGCCCCTCCCCCCTACCCAGCTCCACAGCTGCCAGCTGCTCCCTATCACCCTACTGGATCTTCTCTTACCTCCCAGCAGGCAGCGGCCTTGCCCGGATAAGGCAAACCCCCTCCAATGGATGAGTCAGGAGCATTTTCTCAAATGGAAAATTACTGGAAAACAAGGCAGGCAAGGAGCATAGAAAGCAATAGGAGTGACTGCACTGATGGAGTTCCCCTTCCAGACTTCCTAACATCGCCCCCTCCCCTCCAACCCCACATCAGCCTGGCTGATGGGATTTGCTCTTCAAGTTCTCCTGCCTATTCCATCCTCAGGTCTTCACAGCAGGGAGGCCCATGTGCCCTGAGCTCAGAGAGGGACTGAGTGAGTCCTGCCTCATGCCAAGGCTCAGGCCGCCCTGGGGGGTTAGGAAGGGAGCAGGGCCCATGCAGACATCTAGAGTGGGGCACGCTGAGACCTCGAGACAGAGAAGGAGAAAACAAGTGAGGGATTCAGGCAGCATGGGAGCCCCACAGAGAGGCCATGGGGCCGCCAGGCTGGCCCTCAGAGAGGCCTGGGTGGCGGTGGCGGGGGAGTCAGGGTCTCAGCAGGGATGCAGCACATTCAAGAGAAGGAAGATGCTAGGAGAGCCTACGTCCCTGTCTTCTCTCCACTTGTCTGTTGTGGCCAGGATGGAAAAGGCACCCCCCCTCAACCTGAGCCCTGACACCCTCCCTCTCTGGAAGGTCAGATGCAGTGGGAGGGCCCCTCTGCACCCCCCACCCCGCACTCAGCTTCTCCCTGGGCTTCTTCCACACAGCCCCAGAAGAGGACACACCAGCGCCCTGGCGCCCAGCCACAGAGGCCCCCAAGCTCCCTGAAGGGCCCCGCCTAGGGGTGCTGGTGGTGAGGGACGTGTCCCCGGACTCCCTGCGCCTCTCCTGGAGTGTGGTCCAGGGCCCCTTCGACTCCTTCGTGGTCCAGTATCAGGACACAGATGGGCAGCCCCAGGCCTTGCTCGTGGGGGGCGACCAGAACAAGGTCCTCGTGTCCGGCCTGGAGCCCAGCACCTCCTACAAGTTCTTCCTCTATGGCCTCCATGAAGGGAAGCGCCTGGGGCCTGTCTCAGCTGACGGCACCACAGGTAACGCCCAGAGAGGGACTGGTGTCCTGGCCTTGGCTGCCTCTAGTCTGGGACTGGGAAGGCGAAAGGGGATGCCCAGAAGTGGTGCCCACGGGGAAAGAACGTGAGGGGGCACCATGGAGGGAGGAAGGGGCACTCCGGCAGGCCTTGGCCCGACACGCATGTTGTCATCATGGGTCTGACCTGTCATTATGGGTGGCAGCCCCTCACTAGCCCCTTCTTATAGAAAGGAAATGAGGGCCAGGAAGGGACCTGCCGCAGGGCACCTAGCTGGTGTGCTTCTGTCTGCAAACCCTTCTCTCCCACCCACTCTGCAGGGCCAATTCCTGCGGGTCAGAGCCCCGGAGAGCCGGGGCCCCGGCTGTCCCACCTGTCGGTGACTGATGTGACCACGAGTTCACTGCGGCTCAACTGGGAGGCCCCACCCGAGGCCTTTGACTCCTTCCTGCTCCGCTTCGGAGTCCCATCTCCAAGCACCCTGGAACCGCAGCTACGTCCCCTGCTGCAGCGGGAGCTGACAGTGCCAGGGACACGGCGCTCGGCCGTGCTGCGGGACCTGCATCCAGGGACCCTGTATACCCTTACATTGTACGGGCTGCGCGGGCCCCACAAGGCCGACAGCATCCAGGGCACAGCCCGGACCCTCAGCCCAGGTGAGGCTCCATCCTGGGCACAGAGGCGCCCTGCCCCAAAGTGGGGGTCCTATACTTTGTAGGGTGGGACCTAGTGCCACAGGCAGAGCGGAAGTTGGTGAGTGGTAGAGAGCTTGGAATCTGCAGAGCAGCTTCCATTACCAGGTCCAGAGGAAAGGGGGGTGGTGGCGAGCATGTCTGGAGTCTGTGGGGCCCCAGGAGAAGGAGCCTCCCCACCCCGTGCCCTCATCATCATTCCTTTGCACATCCCTCCCATCAGTTCTGGAGAGCCCCCGTGACCTCCAATTCAGTGAAATCAGGGAGACCTCAGCCAGGGTCAGCTGGACACCCCCAACGTCCAGGGTGGATGGCTTCAAAGTTTCCTACCAACTGGCAGATGGAGGTAATACCCTTCGGCCTGTGTCTTTGCTCTTTTCCACCTGCACCCCGCCCGCCCCGTTGTTGCTCCTTGCCTCCCCGGCCGCCCCCCTGCCAGCCCACTGTGTGTTTCCAGGGGAGCCACAGAGTGTGCAGGTGGATGGCCGGACCCAGAAACTTGAGGGGCTGATCCCAGGCGCTCAGTACGAGGTGACTGTGGTCTCCGTCCGTGGCTTTGAGGAGAGTGAGCCTCTCACGGGCTTCCTGACCACAGGTGAGCAGGACTGGGACCCTGGGCAGGAAGTAGGGGGAGAAAATAGGGCACTGGTAGGAGCTGAGAGTGAATGGGGAAGGGCAGGGGAACGGCGGGTGTTGGAGGCTCCAATGGCAGACAAAAGGTGCAGCGGAGTTTGGGAAGCTGACGGGTGGGGAACGCAGACGGGACCAGCTCTGAGCACCGCCGCCCCCCCCTCCGCCCTTCTCCCAGTTCCTGATGGCCCCACCCAGCTGCGGGCACTGAACCTGACTGATGAATCCGCCCTGCTGCACTGGAAGCCCCCCCAGACCCCGGTGGATACCTATGACGTCAAGGTCACAGCCCCAGGGGGTGAGTGAGGCTGGTTGAGGCCTCTGGGGGGCACTCATTCAGGGAGGGGGAATGGAGGGCAGACTGGGCTCCAGCAGGGCAGTGCTGATACCTGCCCCCTCCCAGCCCCTTCCCTCCAGGCCTCAGCCCCTGGCAGCGCCATGGACTACCCCCTGCAGGGCCTGGTGACCCACACCAACTACACGGCAACCTTGCGTGGCCTTCGGGGCCCCAACTTCACCTCCCCAGCCAGCATCACCTTCACCACAGGTGTGATCCGTGAGAAGCATGGGAAGGGGGAAAGGAGCAAGAGAGCCAGGAAGGGCCTCATCTCCACCTTCTCTTCCTCCTGCTCCCAGGGTTGGAGGCGCCCCAAGACTTGGAGGCCAAGGAAGTGACCCCCCGTACAGCCCTGCTCACTTGGACGGCACCAGAAGTCTCCCCAACTGGTTACCTGCTCAGCTTCAACACCCCAGGGGGACAGACCCAGGTGCCCCAAGCCCTACTCCTCAGGCCAGCTCCCTCCCTGGGTTTCAGTCCAGAGAGGCTGCCTCTGCTTCTGGGGGTGGGCACCACCTCCCTCTCCCCTGACGGCCTCTTGTCTGTTCTGTAGGAGATCCTGCTCCCAGGAGGGGTCACCTCTCACCAGCTCCGCGGCCTCTTTCCCTCCACCCCCTACAGCACATGGCTCCGGGCCATGTGGGGCGACAGCTTCACTCCCCCCGTGTCCACCTCCTTCACCACTGGTACTCGGGCCCTGGGACCTGAGACTCAGGGATGACTGGGTAGCAGGGGTCTAGGATCTGGATAAAGAACTGGCCCCTCACTCCTCTCCCCAGGTGGACTGCAGATCCCCTTTCCCCGGGACTGTGGGGAGGAGATGCAGAATGGGGTCAGCACATCAAGGACCACCACCATCTTCCTCAATGGCAACCGCGAGCGACCCCTGAACGTGTTTTGTGACATGGAGACCGATGGGGGTGGCTGGCTGGTGGGTGGCGGTCAGAAGCCCACGGGGTCTGTACCAGGAGGGGTTGCCAGGCCAGAAGCCACAGGCTGACGGTACCTCCACCTACCTCCCAGGTGTTCCAGCGCCGCATGGATGGAAAAACGGACTTCTGGAGGGACTGGGAGGACTACGCCCATGGTTTTGGGAACATCTCTGGGGAGTTCTGGCTGGGTGAGTGCCTCACAGGGATTGAGGGACCCGGGAAGGGCTTGGGGCCCTGTGGACTCACACTCCCCCATGAGCACAAACTCCCAACCCACAGGCAATGAGGCCCTGCACAGCCTGACCAAAGCCGGCGACTACTCCTTGCGCGTGGATCTGCGGGCTGGGGACGAGGCCGTGTTTGCCCAGTACGACTCCTTCCAAGTAGACTCGGCCGATGAGTACTACCGCCTCCACCTGGAAGGCTACCACGGCACGGCAGGTGAGGGCTCAGCCTGGGGGGCGGGCAGGGAGAGCCGGGAGAGAAGAGAAAAGGACCTCACTGCTCCTTCCACGCCCTGCCAGGGGACTCCATGAGCTACCACAGTGGCAGTGTCTTCTCTGCCCGGGACCGAGACCCCAACAACTTGCTCATCTCCTGCGCTGTCTCTTACCGAGGGGCCTGGTGGTACAGGAACTGCCACTATGCCAACCTCAACGGGCTCTATGGGAGCACAGTGGACCACCAGGTGAGAGGTCTGGGGGGCCGCACCAAGCTGGGGGTGCTTGGGGCTCCACCTGCCTGGGTGTCTGTGACACACACTGTGATAAGTTATTGAATGGCTTAGTGCTTCAGGGCCCTCGCCTGTGAAATGGAACAATAATGCCAATCTCACCAGGTTATCTTGAGGAGGAGATGATTTATTGGATGTAAAGGGATGGGTCAGGATTCTGCTTCAGTCCTTTGCAGTTGAGGGTTTAAGAAGGAAAAGGGGAGACACAATGGCTGATTTCTGGAAACATCTCCCCAGAGGGGAGAGCAGGTGAGAGCTGGATATCAGACACTGACTCTCTCCCAACAACCCCCTTCCCAGGGAGTGAGCTGGTACTACTGGAAGGGCTTCGATTTCTCCGTGCCCTTCACGGAAATGAAGCTGAGACCGAGAAGCTACCAGCCCCCAGGCAGGGGAGGCTGATCCGCCGCTCACCCCTCCAGCGCCCCACCATGACTGCCGAGCACTGAGGGGTTGCGCCGAGAGAAGAGCCAGGGGCCACCTTGACCATCCAGCCACCAACGGAAGCCTTCTCCACCCGCGATCTCACAGCACCATGTTTACAGGGGGGAGGGCAGGGGTTTGTACGGGAGCAATAAAAGGAGACACCGAGGCACGTGACTGGCCGAATCCTCCCCCCCACTCCTCCCCCATCACTGGGCACTTGCGCTCTCCCAGGTCCCGGCCTCCATCCCCCGGGGCTGAAGCCGCACCTGGAAAGGCTGGACCTTGAGGGTGACGCCGCAGTAGGGATCCGGCTGCAGCGACGGCAGGGCGCCCACGGGCGGTGGCAGCAGCGTGAAGGCCTGCAGCAGTCGCAGGAGCACCACGAAGAGCTCCAGGCGCGCCAGCGGCTCGCCCAGGCACACGCGCGCCCCGCAGCCAAACGCCAGCGCGCTGGGGTTCGCACCCGGCTCCAGGAAGCGGTCTGCGGACGGAAGGACCGATCCGGGACTCAGGGCCCGCCGGCCGCTGACCCCAGCTGCACCGCCACCCGCCACCGCGGGCACCCGCCCCAGCACACACCCGGCCGAAACTCGTGCGGCTGCTCCCAGACGGTCTCGTCCAGGTGGGCACCTTGGAGGTTGGGGATAACGACCATGCCCTCAGGGATGTCGTAGCCGAAGATGCTGAGAATTAGGGTTGAGTTAGAGGCCCGCCGAGGCCCCGCTGGTGCCTTGGCCGTTCATCCCTAGGCCTCCGGAGTCACCTGCTAGGCCGCGTGGTGCGGTGATGCAAGGCCAGGGGCACGACCGGCCGCAGGCGCAGAACCTCCGCGATGGTGGCGTTGAGCAGAGGCAACCGAGCACGGTCCTTGTAAGTGATTCGGGAGCAGGAGGCTCCGGGGCCCAGCTCACGATCCAACTCCTCCTGAAGGCGGCGCTGAATCTGGGAAATGGAGCCCCAATCCTGTCACTGGCCAGCCCCCAGCTGCCAACCTCCACCGTGTGTGTGTGTGTGTGTGTCTGTGTGTGTCTGTGTGTCTGTGTGTCTGTGTGTCTGTGTGTTGAGTCACTCAGTAGTGTCCAACTCTTTGCGAGCCCATGGACTATAACCCTCCAGACTCCTCTGCCCATGGAATTCTCCAGGCAAGAGTACTAGAGTGGGTTGCCATTCCCTTCTTCAGGGCAGCTTCCCTACCCAGGGGTGGAACCTGAGTCTCCTGCATTGCAGGGAGATTCTTTACCATCTGAGCACTAGGGAAGCGCAAACTTCCACCACTCCCTGGAGGAACTCACATGAAACTTTGTGCCAAGTAGGAGAACCCATGCCAACCCCACTGACCCACCCAGTCCTACCCCGACAACACAGGCTGCATTGCCATCAGTGAGATAGGTTCCCGCCACCCTGGCCAGGCTGCCAGGAAGGATCCCTAGCCTGCCTCCAGGGCATACCTCAGGGTGGTGAAGCAGGAACGCCACAGCCCAGGAGAGGGTGCTCGCCGTGGTTTCAGTGCCCCCAATGAAAAGGTCCACCACAGACATGTGCACGTGTCCTTCCAGGAGCTGTCCTGGGCCCTCTTCTACTCTTTGCCTCCCTACCCCCTGGAGCATGTAGTCCATCATATCCTTCCACTGGCCAGCCACCATGCTCTCCTGGGGAGGGGAGGAGGAGCCGGCCTGAGTGCCTGGCTTGGGGAGCATGTTGAGAGGGTGCCGACAGGTCCAGGACTGTGGGGATGGCCCAGAAGCTGCCTGGCTCTGGGCAGCAGCGTCACCGCTGCCGGCTGAGGAGGAGTCCGGTCCACACACGCTTCCCACCTTGTGGCGCCTCAGCTGCTTCTCCACCATGTGGTCCCTGTTCTCTATGGCCTGCTTCAGCCTCCAGAGCCCAGGGTTGGGGAAGAACTGGGGCAGAGAGTAAGAAGGTGTAGCTGCTGGCAAGGAAGCCTGTTCCCCATCCCCACCCTTTCTCCCAGGACCAGGCGTGTCGGGGCTGCGCCTCCTCACCCTGAGAAAAGGAACCAGGTCCAAAATCTGGATGGACCAGTGGCCCCAGGTCTTCATCAAGTCCTGAACACAGTCGTGAAAGGCATGTACTAAGGTGTCCTCCTGCCAGAGAAGGAGGAAATCCTTTCAGTGCAGAACCAGGAGAGGATCAGGGAGGGGTTGCAGGGGGCAGGGGGAGGGGGGCAGGCATATGTGAGGGCAAGAGAGTCTTGACCTTATCTCCAAAAGTGAGGTAACAGATGATGCTGCAGGTGAGGAGAGAGAATTCCTTCTGGATGGTCACGGGGGCACCAGCTTGGACTTTCATGCGCTGAAGAGAAAGAGCATGAACTAAATAGAGACCTGGGATGTCCCTGGTATTTAAGAGGCTAAGATTCTTGCTCCCAGTGCAGGGGGCCCAGGTTTGATCCCTGGTCAGGGAACTAGATGCCACATGCTTCAGGTAATATAAGTGAAAAAACTAGAGGGGCTTCCAGGAGGGGTGAAGCTGACCTGGGCTGACTGTGGGAGTCCAGGCTCACCTCGCAGAACTCCTGGGTCAGCTGCTCCACCCAGGGCTCCATGGAGCTGCGGATACCCAGCAGCAAGGCTGAGCGAGTGAGTTTCTTGTGAGCCTTCCAGAGCAGAGAATAGTCCCCCAGAGAGATGTCCTGGCAGCGCTGAGACACCAGCTTGTCTGCGAGTAGGGGTTGGGGGTGGGAGGGTCGACTTGACCAAGGAAGACACAGGCCTGACCTCCCCTGCCTCCCAAAGCCCTGCTTCTCCCCTCAAGCAACCCCTTACAGGATGGTATCTGGGGTCTGCCGGCAAAATCCACCCATTTCCTGATCATAGCCTCCTCGATGGTCCTCTTGGAGTTCAGCACCACCACCTCTGGAAGGGGGAGTGGTAGGAAAAGCAGGAAGTCAGCAGGAAAGGACACCCACAACCCTCCTCACTGTTGTGGGTCAGGAAGGAAGCAGACCCTCACCTTGCAGCCCAAGGCGAAGCCTGTAGACAGGCCCGAGTTTCTGAGTCAGGCTCAGCAGATGGATGGGGAGGTTGGGCTGCAGCAGGTGCAGGAAGCCGGGGACCAGCGGTGGGAGGTGGAGGTTTCTGAGCTTCCACCGGCCCCACAGCAGGTGAGCGCCAGCTAGCAGGGTGAGCAGCAGCAGCAGCCCTGCGAGGACCATGGCTGGAGACCCAGGCAGAGGCCCCGGCCCCGCCACTTATAGCTCTCCACACCTCCAGCCATCTGGCTACTTGGGCTGTTCTGAAGCCTCCCTCGACTCCTTGCCTCAGGTCCTTGCCCACTGTCCCGCCCACAAAACAGTACATTCCTGCAATGGCGTCCATCCTCTTGGCCTTCGAAAATCCAGTATCAAAGAGCAGGCCTTTTCCCATTCATCTATCAAGAGGAAAGGAAAGGAAACACAACCCTGACCTTCTTCAACAGCCAGAATCAGCTTTCTGTCAACCGTTCAGGAAAACATGTCCCTGAGGCCTCTCCCACCCCCACCCCAGCCCCAATACACCCTCACCACCACCTTGGACCAGCTTCCTGCCACAGGGTTTGTCTCAGGCATGACAACCGATGCCTAATGTGCCCTCCCAGATGGCCTTTAAAGCACGAAATGAGACGAAAGTGATGTGGTTTTTTCTTTTAACTTACAGATAGGGGAACCACATGTCCTAGTTTGCATGTGTTATCCCAGGTTATACCTATAGTCCAAGGACCATCAGTAATAGTGCCTCTTTTTATGCTCAAAACTTGAAGAATTAAATGTTTCCCCAGTTTAGAGCACTTACCCTGTACCTGACACTCTTTGCTTGCAAGGAAAAGAGACCCACTCGAGCTAGTTTGAGCCAAAAGTAAGAATTATTATATAAATACAGGGATATCTCACAGAATCCAAGAGCAGGCATGTAGCAGGGACCTTCTTGGCCTTGGAAAGCCAGGGATTGTGAACTAGAGCCCAGAGACATGGCTGCTTCCTCACGCTTCGTTCCTCCTCTCATTTGTTTAATATTCCTGGCTGCACTGGGCCTGGATTGCCATACCTGGGCTTTCTCTAGTTGTGGCGAGCAGAGGGTACTCTCTAGCTGTGATACTTGGGCTTCTCATTGCAGTGGCTTCTCTTGTTGTGAAGTGCAGGCTCTAGGCACGTGGGCTTCAGTAGTTGAGGCTCGTGGGCTCGAGAACTCGGGCTCAGTCGTTGGGGCCCACAGGCCTGGTTGCTTCACAGCATGTGTGATCTTCCCAGACCAGGGATCCAACCCGTTTCTTCATTGGCAGGTGGATTCTTAACCACTGGACCACCAGGGAAGTCCCCTCCCTCTCTGTCTGCAGTCCTCTCCTCCCACTGCAGTCAAGCTGCTTGCGCTCCCGGGTGCAGGCGGCAGAGGACTGCTTTCACGGTTAGACTCCACAGAATATGGGTCTAGCCCCAGGACAAGAGGGCTTTAATGGCGTGGTCAAACATGCCCCACATCGATTCCAAAGTCCTCAGGAAGGAACTTGATAGCCACAGCTGGGATCAGGGGCCCAGCCCTCTTCAGGGAGATGTTGCCATGAGGGCTGGGGTCCCAGTGGACTAAGTAGGGCTATCAGGGGCCACTGTTATGGGTGAGGGGGCAGTTGAAGGACTCACAGGAGAGGTCATGCTAAAGAGGGTCAGCAGGACTCGGTGGGAGGCTGGGGCACCTAGGAGGTGGGGTGAGAGCTTAGAGCTGACCTGAGTTCACACATCCCCCAATACTCCATCCTTTCTCTGCCAGAAGACCTTAGAGCTTTAACCAGAGCATGACTCTGCCACCAGAGAGCCTGGGTCAATATCCCAGCTGTGGTGCCAACTAGCCTAAAGAGTTCACTGCTCGGGGTCCTGATAGGAGAGGCTCAGCTCAGCCTAACCCAGGCCCAGGACTGGGAGGGAGAAAACATGGGATTTCTGGGGTTGGGCAGGAACAGCCAGCTCATTCCTCCTGTTTATCTCAGGCCCTACATTCTGTCTTGCCACAACTATATCTGAATGTTTGACTCTTATACGTGGCTTTATGCCACCACCATGCTGACCAGATTTCGGGAGAGATCTGACAGGCAATGACCAGGCCATGTAGACAATAGCCCTAAGAAGCCTCTGAAACGCTGAGGAAGGTCAGAATGCTTTTGTGAAAAAATATTAACTTATTTGGTTACACATGGTCTTAGTTGCAGCATTGGGAAAATTAGATCTGCAGTTGCAACATGCGGGATTTTTTTTTTTTCTTTTTTAGTTGAGGCTCTTATCTGTGGTATGTGGAAACTAGCTCCCTTGGCAGGCATCGAACCTGGGCCCCTTGCATTGGTAGCACAGAGTCATAGCTGTTGGGCCACCAAGGAATTCCCAGGTTAGAACTACTCAAAGATTCATGGAATAGGAGGGGACTCTGTTCAAACAGAGAGTGACCTGGCCTGCTGGCCTGCTGGCGAACACCGCTTCATAACTGACACCATGTACCTTGCCATGTCATCTCTTCTACACCACTGCCAAATCCTAATTCCAGACATAATAAATGATATCAATGCCCCCAAAAGTGTTCCATTCTGCCCCCAGCCTCAGGGCCTTTTATGTTGTTTCTTCTGCTTCAAATACCCTCATCTACTCCTACTCCCTTCGCTTGACTAATCAGCCTGCAGAGTCCAACTTAAAGGTCACCTCATCCAGGAAGCCACCCCTGCCCACTTCTCAAAAGCCCTCAACTGGTCAGAGGCCCAACAGAACCATGCAGCTCCCTGACCTCACACCATTCACAAAAGATGGGGATCTGGAACAGGGCATGGCCTGGTGTGAGAGGTCCACAATTCCTGTTGAATGACTGAATGGCAGGCTGCTGAGTTAGCTCAGTTTCCCTCAGAAATGACCTCAGCACATTCCTCTAGATGAATTTCTAGGTTAGCCCTGAAGACCCAAGAGGTGCTACCATAATGGGGGAGAGCTAGGCGGTCAGGTGGGGAGGGTTGACCCCGGGGAACAGCAGTTCCCTCAGAGTATTAAGAAACACCAAAGTTGGCCTTTCAGTCTGTTTGAAATCAGTATCTAGATGAAGGCATCATCAGACCTGAGGATTGCACAATTCTGGGAAAGTTACGTAATGCTGCTGATAAAGGGATCAGTGTCAAACGGGCTTTCAACAGAGCAGGTCTCGGTCAGAAGCAAGACCCCAGAAGTGGCACGTGCATGAGCACAGTGGGGGACATGCGGCTGGGGAGCTGCTCACGAAGCAGAAGGGCTGAGGTGCCTGGTGTGCAGTGCCCGCCTGAGGCCCCAGTGACAGGCTGCCAGGCACAGGGAGTGCCCTTCAGGCAGAGTGAAAGGGAGGTCTCAGTGTGGACATGGGATCCTCTGAGCGCAGGGTCAGCTGCCCACCATGGTCATGATGTGGCACCAGGCTCCCAAGGGGTCGCCTGGGGGAGGAGGAGATTCAGGCAGAGCCGGACGCTGCAAGGGTCACCCAGGCTCTGGGAGCCTTAGATGATGCCAACCCTGGCCTGGGCCCCCCAGAACCTGGAGCAGGTGGTGGGGACGCTGGTCTCAGCCCTGGAGATACACACGGACACTTTGGGGCCAAAGGCCTTTATTGAGTCCCTGGGTTTGCCTAGGGCTCTGGTCAGGGCACAGGGCATGGCAGGAGTCCAGGCACCACCTTTCCACAGCTCCGGCTCCTCCTGGGGAAGCTGGGAGCGCGCCCTCACACCTGGCAGCCCTGCGTACCATACTCCTCGAGGAAGCTGTTGAGCTGGGCACAGGGTGTCCGATGGCGGGTGCTCTGGCACATGCGCTTGGAGGGCATCTCCTCGATCCAGCTGTTTGAGTCCAGCAGGTACTGGGGGCTGCGGGCAAAGGGGCAGTCAGCAGGGGTCAGCGGAGGGTCAGGAGCAGACCCTGAGGCACCTGGATTCTGAGGGCACAAGGGACCGTTTCCCTAGAGAGGCGTGGGCAGAGCAGGAGACCGAGGGGTCCCAAAACTCACTCTCCCTTGAGGTCGTAAGTGGCCCCGTCCAGACCCATGATCAGATATTCTTTCCCAGGTTCCAACTGAAGGCGGCAAGAGGCTCGGACCAGGAAGTTTCTGGTCTGATCAGCGGTGGCCTTGGCATCCTTGGCTGAGGGGAGAAGGTCCACAGAGTCATCAGAGGGGAAGAGGAGGGGGAGGACAGCAGGGGGCCGGGGGGCTCTGCGCCAAGCCTCCATTTGACCCTCACCACTCCCAGCGGGCAGGTGGGACTGCATTCCTGTCTGTGGACAAGCCCAGGGCTTCGAAGAGGCTGAGGGGCTTTGAGCTCAGACTGGCTGCAGTTTCACTCTTCCAGGCGCCAAGGCCCCAAAGCCAGACCTCAGCTCCCCAGTATGGCCCCCAGCCCTGCCCACTTATTGTCCCCCTCTTACTGAAATGCAGGACTTGGGTGATATGGGTCTCAAAGAGGCGGAAAGCAGCCCTGCTGTCTTCTCGGAGAACCTTAACCTGGAAGGCTGTGGGGGGTTTAAGAGAAGGGAGGGAAGGTTAGTTATCCCGAGGCTAAGAGGACGGGAGGTCAGTGCAGAGTGACAAGGCTGTCCGTGGGCCTGAGAGGTGCAGGCGCAACCTAAGAGACCTTGAGGGTGGGTGGGTCGGGGTCAGGGCCAGGGTCCGGGCAGGAAGACTGACCGTAGTCCACTCGGGGAGAGTAGCAGGCGAATTTCATCCGGTAACCCTCCACATCCTGCTGCCCACGCTCCAGGGCCCGGCGCTGTCGAGGGCACTTCCCTGAAGTCAGGGGCCCAGGTGAGGCCGTGTAGGCCCCAGCCAAGCCTCTTCCACCCCTGATCCCCAGTCCGGTGTCTCACCCTCAGCACACTGGCAGACATCCGCAGAGCACAACGTGGACAAGAGTTTGCTCTTACGTGGTGCCCCATAAAACACAGAACATTTGTGCTCTGGAAAAAGCAGAGAGGGGCATTCATTAGGGCACTGGCCTGTCTCTGCCTCCCCAGTCCATGGACCCCCAGGACTCGCTTGCCACCCCTCACTGCCACCTAACCCCACCCTCCCGAGAGTCCCCGACGCCTCACCAGGGTTGTAGTAGTCATACAGGACGGCGCTGGCTGGTTGTACCAGCCCCACGGGCACCTCCTGCACCGCTCCGAAGCCCATGCACTCCCGGGAGGTGGGGACC